TAGTTGATGGTTCGTACCCATCCGATTCATATATCGCTGTAAGGTCGCTGCCGTGAAATTTGATCCACGGTCTGTGACAATTTCAGATGGACATCCAAACTGCATAAAAATTTCCTCATAAATAAAGTCAGCAACTGCCGATGCAGTCGCTTCATGCACAGCACGGGCTAAGGGCCAGTTGGTAGCATAATCAATTGCGGTGATAATCCAACGATTGCCATTCTTGGTTTTCGGTAGGGCTCCTATGAAGTCCATTCCCCAGCGCTGAAAGGGCAAGGTAGGCTCTAGAGGATGTAGAGGTGCAACAGTGGCATCTTGACGGGCTAACAGCTGACATTCAGGACAAGCTGAGACCATTGTTATAATATCAGCACGAAGGGTTGGCCACCATACACGAGTTGAAACCAGATCGAATAAGCCGTTTCGGCCAAGATGACCAAAGCCAGCATGATACATATATAGAGTATCAGCTCGATTGACGAAAGGAACAAATGGGACTGGGCCGTGTTCTGTTATACGACACAAAGTGTCGTGATCGACTTGGAAATGAATTGCTTCATCTCTTACTAGTTTAGCAGATTCATCATCTTCAGGTAAGGATCCATCCTTGAAATAGGCATAGATGTATAAAGGCCAGTCAACATTATCAGCGGCAAAGTCTTTTATAGATGAAGTAGTTGCAAGAGAGGCAACTGTTGGTGTAGATAAACGAGACAAAGCATCTGCGGCTGAGTTATCGACACCTCGACGATATTGAATATCAAGATTGTAGGGCGCCAAAAATTCAATCCATCTGGCCATACGACCGCTCAGATGAGGTTGATTAAATAAAAAGCGTAGGCTAGCGTGATCAGTGAAGACGGTTACTACTGATCCTAAGAGGTAAGAGCGCCATGCTCCACATGCTCGGACTATGGCCAATAGTTCCTTTTCATGGACTGGAAAATTTTTCTCAGAATTAGAGAGCTTGTGTGACACAAAAGCAACCGGGTGAAGACGGTTATCGATCATTTGTGAAAGAACTGCTCCTGTAGCAATGTCAGAGGCATCAGTTTCCACAAAAAATGGCTTAGAAAAGTCTCCGGGGTAAAGAACTGGTGTTGAGGTAAGCAATTGAATCAACTTGTCCATGGCTGCTTGATGGCTAGGAGTCCATTGTGGTAAAGGTCTCTTTTTGGCATTGTTTTGTCCTTCTTGCTTTAATAAATCAGTCAAGGGGCTTGCAATCTTGGCGAAGTTGCGTATAAATCGCCTGTAGTAATTTGTGAAGCCTAAGAATGAGCGTAATTCTTGAACATTGGATGGAGTGGGCCAATCTTTAAGGACTGCAACCTTGTCTGGATCGACTTCAATACCTCGAGAGGATATGACATGACCCAAGAATTTGACTTCAGATACACCAAAGGTACACTTGCTGGGCTTTGCGTGAAGGGAAGCCGATTTCAAAGCTTCTAGAACCAGCTTGAGATGTTGAACATGCTCTTTCATAGAAGAAGAGAAAATAAGGATGTCGTCTAAAAAGACAACAACGAACTTGTCCAAGAATTCCTTTAAGACATCATTGGTTAAAGTCTGGCATGTAGCAGGTCCTCCTGTGAGACCAAAAGGCATGACTACGTATTCGAAATGGCCATATCTTGTATTGAAAGCAGTTTTTGGAATGTCTGCAGGGTGAATACGCACTTGATTAAAAGCACTTTCTAAGTCTAGCTTGGAGAAAACAGTAGCACCAGTAAATCGATCGAAAAATTCTTCGATCAAGGGAAGTGGGTACCTATTCTTGATTGTGATTGAGTTCAAAGCTCTATAATCAATACACAGCCGGAGGGAACCATCGCTCTTGGTCACGAATAGAACAGGGGATGCCCACGGGGAAATGGAAGGTCTGATAAAGCCTTTCTTAAGTAAATCATCAAGTTGTTGCTTTAAAACTAACAACTCTTTTGGGGACATCTTGTAGGCTCGCTTATAGATCGGGCGTGCGTCTACTGTATCAATGTGATGATCTTGAGGTCTCTGTGGTGGTAGAGTCGGACAATGGAGTGAAGACAGAATTTTCATATTCGTATAAAAGCTTCTGTAGTGTAGGATCAATATTGTTGTCTTTAATAACTTCCGCTAACGAAAGAGCAGAAATTTTCGGAGTCGATTGTTCATCTTGAAGAAAAACCAAACCCAGGTCTTGTTGATTTGACACAGCACGCTGGATGGCTCGATGAGTACACAACGAATCCATTTGAGGTTCCGAAGAAAGAACCTTTAGGGATGAGTCTTTGGAAGAAGCCTTGTATGATGCTCCATTCACAGTCCAAGTCAAAGTTCCTTGAACATAATCAGTATTTGGATTATACTTCTTTAACCAAACCAGGCCAAGGTAAATGTCTTGACTTAGGATATCAGCCACGCAAAATTCCTCGTCATGAGTAAAGTTGCCGATAGTAAATACGAGAGTGACTAAGCTTGTCAACTTTACGTTACTAAGATTGGCTGTAGTGGCGATTGTTGGCCGATTGAGTTTTGTTTCTTTTTTTATGAGCGAAGGATCATATGCGCGGATCCTGTTAAGCGCTGTTGTAGAGATCGCGTTGCAATTGCATCCGCCGTCGATAAGGGCAATCAGCTCAGTTGAGCCGACGTTCGTTTTGATGAAGATCTGTTCAGGCAACATTTTGATGTGATCTTCTAGTGGTGCTGATTTATCTGTCATTGTAATAGGCTCAACGGTATGAGCTTGTAATTGATTAACATGGGCAGATTTGTCAGGCTTATTATCAGGCTTTGTAGGGCAAGCGTACCCTTTGTGATCTGTCTTGCCACAGATATAGCATGACCGGGGACCATTGCCACCGTTTTTGTAGCATTGTACCTCAGAATGGCCGTGCCTGCCACAAGTAGGACAAGGTGGACGTCTTGTTCTGAGGGAATCTATGTCCATAGTAGATTCCGCAACATGGTCATGGTCTTGATGACGGTCTTGATGACGGTCTTGGTGTTGTTGTGAATTATTTTGATGAGAATTGTTTTGATGAGAGTTATTTCGATGATAAGTGGTATGTGAGGTTGAATGTCTGACAAAGTCATTATTTTTGTAAGATGCTTGATGTGGAGGAGGAGTATGAGGTTTGTCATTGGATCTTGATGCCTTGTCTAAGAGTCTCTTTGCGTGCCAGTTATGAGATTCTGTGCGACAAACATCTAGGACTTCATTCCAGGTCGTGGCGTTCTCTTTCTGAAGCTTGCGCTGGAGCCATAAATCTGCGACTCGACGGAAGTTCCATACTTTTTCTCCTTCGGGAATTTTATCACGAAGTGGATAGTATGCTGCCTCGAACTCACGGACGAATTCCATAACATCTGAGTTCGGTTTCATGGATAAATTGTCGTACTTGTAACGTAGCTCGAACTCATCATCCGCCTTGGCAAATTGTTCCTTAAAATCATGAGCGAATTTTTTCCAAGTGAGGATATTCTTAGTCTCAAGATCGTCAATGTGTCTAAGACTCCAATCACGTGCGATCTTTTCCATATGTAGAGCAACACGAACTGTAAAGAAGTTATCATTGACGTTGGAAATTTTGTACAAAGCGTCCATAGCGCGTAACCAGGATGAAACATCCGTCTTGCTATCGAATCGTTCAATTCCTGCAAGATTAAAATGCTGATTGGTTGTAGTTTCCATATTTACATCACCATCGGTGTCAAGAAAGGAATTGGAGGATGTGGTCGTGGTAGAGGAGCTTGCGGTGCTTTGAACGTTGATATTGGATGGGGGTTTCATTGTTGATAAATAAAAGGTCTTTGTTTGAAAAAAAAGGGCAAATAAGGGGATGAATAAATAAAAATGTGTGTAAACAAGTAAAAAGGTAACAAATAAGGAAAGAGATAAATGAAACGGAAAAAGAAAGCTAATTTTTTTTTTTTTTTTTTTTTTTTTTTTTTTTTTTTAAAATATGCGCGAAAAATAAAAGTGTGTGGTGAAGGTAAAGAATTTGGTTGAGGAAAAGCAAAAAGTTTGTAATATGATCACAACAAAAGGATGAATATGTACAATCAAAAAGTGTCAAGAAGAATAATAATGGAGTAGTAACTAGGTCGCGTTAGAGGTTAAAAGAACCTTTGCTACCATTTGTCGTAGAGCATCTACTAGTGATCTCTGGAAACTAGTAGGTAATGATGAAAAATGAAGAATTGGGCAAGAGCCTCGTGGTTTTGGGATACGATAGTGATCCTAAGTAATGCTTTGAATGATTTTGAGGATGCTGCAAAAGGGCATCGATAATAAGAAGAGAGATCTTTAATAACTGCTAATTTTCTGAGAATTCATAATGAGAATAATGAAGATAAACTCACCTGCAAAAGGGCATCGATAATAAGAAGAGAGATGCCGTTTTTGCAGTGAAGGAAAAAGCTACTGAAATACTATTTAAAAATGGTAGAAAATAGGATGATAGGAAATAAATAAATTGAAAGGAAATACATATTTAGGTAAATGAATAGGCGTCATTTACGACAATACTCAACAAAAGCCCGGCTAACTCAATCGGTAGAGTGTCAGACTTTTAATCTGAAAGTTGCGGGTTCGACCCCCGCGTTGGGCGTATAATTTTTCTATTTTGGAGTTTTTGAATAGAATATTATTGCGGCAGGAATTATTGGATACGGCTTTATTTGCGACTCCTGAAAGGTTTTTACTTCAGGACCAACAAGGATGTTTGTGTACCTGGACTTTAAAAGGTAACGAAACAGATGATAATACCTTGATGTCCAACTTACAGTTAATGTACCTGGTTTTTTCATTTAATCGTGTGTTGTCCTAGCTATCATTATAAGAATGCCTAAGTTGTTTACTGCTAAACTAAACTAAACCGAGAGCATCAGGTACTACGCATTGGTTTGAACGTTCAGAAAATACCCGTAACCTCTAATTGTGGGCAAAGCTTGATAGCAAGGGTAGATCCGATATTTTGATTTCATCCTGTTGTTTTACCGAATGTTTGGCATTAAGCCATCAATTGCTTCAAATAGCTATCATGCTTTTGGTGTTGCTGCTGGTCAGCATACATCTTCATTGTCAGTACCACTAGGGCTTCCTCAAATTCATAGCAACCACGCCAGCCTCGATACTGGCTCTTGAGCAGCCTCATTACATGCGAGCCTAGGTCTAGCCCTTGGAAGCGTACCTGTGATCGCTCTACCACATGGTGCACGCACATCTGAGTAACCGGGGGATGCTCAAATCCCCATCCAAAGTACACTTCAAGTACGTTTTCGTCTGTGATCACTTGCTGGAGCTCATTAAGGTGCCATTCCACCCAAGGCGTAGAGCTGGGGCACTTGTTTAACCCATACTCCTTGCCCAGATCAAATGTAACCCTCCATTGATCACTCCGAGGTACATATCCATCTGAGGGTAATCTTCCAGAGTAAATGAATCCTATCAACTTCTCAAACACGGCCCATGTGCTAATAGGTGCCGTCAGGACAGTCGTAGCAGGCCGTTGGTGGGGATTGTGCTGAGCAAGTGTCAGCTTCGCTGAAAGTGATGGATATATGGATAAAACAGCGTGATGTGCTCGCTTGCGGTCGAGAACTAGCCCAGCTTTAGAAATGAAACGGAACTCGACATCCGAGGTTGATGTATGATTTTCAAACTGAGTCATCATCTCTACTAAAGGGTCAATATTTCGAGCGATGGGGTCGAATTCAGAGGACGCTAAACTGTGTGTCCAGTGGCCAGCATTGTGTGGGCCTAGGAGCTTGAGTGGAAAGGAAGATAGGATTATGTAGAACTCATAGTTTTGGTCCAACCAGACATCCTTACGTTCCAAATGAACTATTTCAGGATCGGTTAAATTACAGTTTCTTCCCACAAGCTTATTGCAGAACAAAGAATATACAAATACTTGGCATATAAATCAGTACATACATTCAATTCCTTTAAAGATGTCGTCGCTCTTAATGCGCAGACTCAGTAGGACATGACGTGGATCAGGATGAAGCTCATCAGGAGCGGCTACTTGAAGACTACAGCAGTGTTGAAACTCAGTACGCTTCGCTTCCGAATGAGTGAGGGGCGCAAGCGATGCTCGGACTGTGGATTTATCTTCTAAGATCGAGAGCTGGCATGTCCATTCATGTGTGCCATTTTTTGCAACCGTTCCTATGGAAGGTGAGTCTTGAGTAGAGGCAGTAGAGTATACCCTGTCCGGAATACTGAAGTGCAAGATACACAAATTTGTAGCGATGGTCATAATTGGCCTTGTGAGTGATTTACAAGAGACAAGTGGCACGACGAAATATTCAAAAAGTGAGAGCTAAAAAGTCGAGGTGACAACATAGTCATATGGTTCATTTGCACGTGTATAGAGTAACACGGTTTATCAATGATAAAGTCAGACTGAATGTACAGTATACAGCGCATGCTTTCCAAATTAACTTTTTTTCACTTCCAGCTTCTGACTCTTTGGACCAAAGTCGCTTCACTCACTTGCCCATTAGATAGTCATTTCTTTTTGTATTATGCTCTTGATACCCATACGCAGTACAACAGACGCTGGGTTGACGCTCTGGATGCTGTTATTGTTTCTCACAGTCTTGCCCAGAAGCTGTGTATCTATTTTCCCATGGAGCCCATGGTCACGCCCCCCCGCTTCTATGCAGGGTGAGGCGCACCAGATACAGGGTACAGCGGAATCCTTTAATCCAAGCCTAAAATGTAATCAGTCTTGGATCGCTCAATCCAATTGTCAAACATGCTATACGTCGATGCCTCTGCCAAATACCTAAATATAAGCCCGCCATTACTATTCTAGATCCCATTAACTGGGGGGATGATAGTTCTGACGAAGAGATGTCTGCCCTGCATTACGCAACAGGTCTATCCATAATAACTTGTTTATTGTGATGGCTATATCAACCGCTTTACACAGTTGTTTAATCTTTTTGATCGAGTATGTTTTCCTTAAAACCATTACAGAGGCCTTGAAAGCGTACGAGCACAAGCCTGACTGCTTCAAGAAGGCAGCAAGAGCCTTGCGTAAAGAATGCAAAAGCGTTGACATGGATGAGGATGAGAAAATGAAATGTAACAAGAGAAAAGCAAGCTACTTATTATATGAACTATTAGATAGGAGAAGGATGTCAGGGTTTTTCATGTAAACAAACACTTTTTTTATTATAGTTGCGATTAGACTGGCGGCTTGCGAGATTGCCACAGCTAATATGCCTGTACCTGTTGATTGCCGCGCCCTTAGCCCAGAGGGGGAACAAGCACAAAGCGAATCTGCTACGCCGGCCAATATCCGACGATGTGTCCAGTATGGACTTAGGATTGCCCACTTTTGATGCATATTCTTTAAATACTGAGTTGTTCTAATGCTGAGCCCTTAATGGTTTCCGTAATCAACGATATATAATACACAGGTCCCTTGGCCATGTGCCACAGCTCTGGACATCCTATTCTGGATATTTTCGCGAAGTCAAAGTGATGTGTCTTGCGGTTCGATTTTCATTGGAGCATGGTACATGTAGACCTAATCATTAAATTTTTTGACGTGTCGAGCCCAACTACGCTGTCTTACACGTTTCGTACATTCAACGCCACACATCTAGATGATCTACGTGTTTTGCAACGGAACATCTCACGTTCTCATTTGGAGCAAATCGCCTTTTTGAGGGAGAAGCAGAAAGAGCTATTGGAGACACACCGATTAGAAGTTACAAGCTTTCAGGAAACCATGAATCTTCATACAGCCATCAATGATCAGACAAAAACTATATTAGTAAGAGGGTAGAATGATATGCACACTACCATTATATTGCCACACTGTTGCTCCGCTTTTAGAGGAGCCCCAAGAGCACAAGCTTATATTCAATATCATTACTTCGAAATAGTCTCAGGCTAGCGCTTTACGCGATTATTTATCAATGCTTTTCGAAGATATGTCAAGGATGAGTCGAAGAAGTGAGCAGGAAGCTATGCAACAGGGCGTTGCTATTTCGCACCTTCAAGAAGTTAATGGTCAGCTCATAACGGAGTACCACACGAGCATAGAAGAGGTATTAAACTGGCTCAATCTTTTTCAACAGATCTGCAATGTTCCTCTTGGCTTTTTTCTTACAATCAGTATTATATAGACTTTGAGTTCGATCTCCCAAGCGATGCGAAGCTGGCACAAGTCCCTAGAATCGGGCCTTTCACGAGCTGAGACCCTGGATAGAATTAATAAGGACCTTATGGTAGTGTGTCTTTCCTTTATCTAAAAGCCATGACGACACTAGCTTAAGTATTGAGGATATCAGATCAACTGCCTTATTGCAATTTCCTCACAAAACAAACTTTCTAGGCCAGGGTTCAAGAATCTAACGATGGCCTAGATGATATGAAAGGTCAGCTGAACACAGTTCGCAATAGCCTAGATCAAATAGCAAGGGTTGCTAAAGATAATACGCGCACCTTGTTGGATATTCAAGAAGTGGGCTCCCATAAAATAAATGCAGCTATAAATGCATCGATAACCAATGTCACGGAAGCGCTTTGCCAGCTGGAGACTAATAGCCAAATAGCTCGGGATGAAGTAATCAGCGTGTTTGATAGTGTGAGGGTCAACATGCGTGACAAAGTAGCGAGGACTTTGGAAGAGACAACATTTGATATCAGGAACATGGCCGCAACATCACAGGAGAAAATCGAGCAACTCAACATGCTCGTGGACGAGTTCAGAAGCAAACAGGAAGACGTTCTTTGGCAGCTAGGTGTCATACATAGAGCATGGCGATTCATGTCAGGTAGTGTAAATACGAGGCTGTTGCAAAAACTAGGCATATAAGAGTTGAATCATTTACCAACTTTGATCAAGGGGTTCGCGTGAATGATAGGCACCGTAATTGAAAGGGCTTCCATTGTTGATATTGGTATAATCTTTTCAGTACTCGGTGCCGTCTGCCTTGCAAGCGATACGAAGACTGCAGGGAAGGGGTGTTTGCCTATTGGCTTATTGCACTTTCTATCTATTTTATACCATTGATATTAATATCCTTTTTTTTCTTACAGCCATCATTTCGATGGTCTCGATTGCTGTATTTGTAGGTTGCGAGAGACTATTAACTCCAGTTTCATACAAATGGGTATTGCTGAGTGTTATTTGCACTAAGGTTTGCATAAAGGGCTCGCTGTATTGCTGGCGTTCTATGCCCAGCCAACACATAAGAGAGAAATGCCTAGCCAAAGAACAAAAGCATAATCTGGCCTACCTCCTTGATTCCGAGTTTAACATCTGGCGTAAGGAGGAGAACTATTCGAGTGGCCAGTATGGCCCACCACCCTACTATTCACAATGCGATACACGTATGCAGGTTTTGATGCAGCCAGGATGGAGTCAAATATACCGAGGTGAAACACGACTAAGCTATGATTATAATTCTCCAACACATGAGTTGTGTGATCTAACGGGATCCATCAATGAAGAGCATTGTCCGTATATGGGGGAGGCGTTTGGTCTCTCGCTTGGATTGTATACATGTGGCCAAGATTAAGAATATGGATGACATTACAGGGCGAGCTTTTTTTGCAGCGCACAGGCTCTGGTTGCTTCCATCGCTGTGATAACGGATTGCAATCTATGATGACCTTATTTCATTTTTTTTTTTTTTTTTTTTTTTTTTTTGAAAATCATGTAAAGAACGATGGGAAGCTTTGAAGGAAATATTCCAATGCGTGAGCTTTTTTTTTTTTTTTATTTTTTTTTATTTTTTTTTTTATTTTAATATCTTACAAAATAAAAACCGAACGAGCCTTTGATCAATGAATAGTCGAGATGTGATAATGAGTTTTTTTTTTTTTTTTTTTTTTTTTTTTTTTTCGAGCCATGGGATGGATTGGTTAATTATGTGTCTGATAGAATGAGTCTATTGAGATCACTGTCACAACCGTTGTCTTTCATAATTAAACCTTATGGTAACCAGCAGGGACAAAGGGGAGCTTAGTAACGATAGCTTTTTGCTTGCGGCCACGGACTTCAACCTCGAGCTCTGTGCCTGACTTGTGAAGACCATTTTTGACGTAACCCATAGCAACGTTCTTCTTGGTCGAAGGAGAAGGACAACCTGAGGTGACCTTTCCAACCAATTCGCCATTGGCGTAGATCGGAGCATTTTCGCGTGCTGGAGCACCCTGTACAACCAATCCGATACGACGTTTGCTGACGCCATTCTTGAGCTGATCTTGGATCTTGGAAGCGCCCAAGAAGCCACCCTCGGCACGACGACGCTTTCCAATTGTCCAGGTGAGGCCGGCCTCAACAGGGGTGATGGTCTCATCCAATTCATGGCCATACAAACAAAGACCAGCCTCAAGCCTCAAGCTGTCACGAGCACCTAAACCAGCCAGCTCAACATCAGGTGAAGCGAGCAAGAGCTTGGTGAACTCGACAGCATCGTTATTTGGAACCGAGATCTACAAGTACAGGTCAATGGGAATGCATGGTTAATGTACGTACAAACAACATCATTCATGTTTGCATTTGTGAAGAAAAAGTAATTTACTTCAAAGCCATCTTCACCAGTGTAGCCCGAACGAGCAACGTGGCAATCGATGCCCTTGATGGTCATGAAGCGGCCATCCATGAAGGGGAAGTCGCGAAGATCCTTCTCAACCAACGACTCGAGTACAGCAGCAGCCTTGGGACCTTGGAGAGCAATTAAAGCATGGTCATCAATGATCTTCAAGTCAGCATCACCACCCTTATTCTGGAACTCCTTAAGATGAGCGCGGATGTGAGCCAGATCCTTGTCAGCGCAGCCGGCATTAGAGACCACATAAAGTGAGTCCTCATGCTTACAGATGATGGTATCGTCGATAATGCCGCCATCTTCGTTGGTGAAGACAGACAAAGTCGAGCTGCCAACAGGAAGATTCTCAATGTCAGCTACAGTAAGGCTTTCGAAGAATTTGACGCGATCCTTTCCTGTGACTCTAGAGGAATAGCCAAAAAAAAAAAAAAAAAAAAAAAAAAAAAAAACTAACGTTAGACCAATCATGTCTTTATAGGATGTTGGTTTAATAAAAAAGAAGAGGGGGTCATTCGAACACTCGTTTTTACCTGGTGGCAAGCATATGACTGACATCAAAAACGGAAGCATTAGTGCGGGTCCAGTTGTGAGAAGCACCAACACTAAGATTAGAGTATAGAACGGGCATTGACCAGCCAGCATAAGGGACCATCTTGGCTCCGTTCTCAATGTGATAGTTGTACAGGACAGTTTTCCTGAGGGCCTAAATCACCACGAGTTAATTAAAAAAAAAAAAAAAAAAAAAAAAAAAAAACTTCGGTTATGGTTTCGACTCGATTAATTGACCTTGTATGACTCCTGTTCTGATTTGATCTACTACAGTTTCGAAGTATTGCTCGTCAAGAAGCAAAAGACACCAAGTATTTTGGTAATTGGATCATAGCCTTTCTACCAGCAGTAGTTCTAAAATTCCTTTATAGTCATGGATTTTATATGACAAATGCTGGTTCAAGTATCATAATCCTCCAATAATTGGGCTGATTCAAGTTGGTAAAGAACTTTTGCCCTGAATAAGACCATGCTCAAGCATCAAAAAAAAAAACTTGTCACCATGTCACGGTTTGAATGTCAAGGCATTGCATTCGCTCTTCATGCATGCATTAAGGCTTACCTCACTAGCAGCAGCAGCCGAATAGGCACGGTGAGCGGTACGTGCGACTGTAACAGTGGGGATTGACTTGGCAAACCTGAGTGCAGACAACATGGCGCACGGTATTGAGTTTTATAAAAAGTGAAAGAAAGATAGAGAAAAGAAGGGTGAAGAAGGTGTGGGAGAGAAAGAGATAGAAAGAAGAAAAAGAAGAAAGAGAGGAGAGTAGAAAGACGTAGAGTGTGGAGGAAAAGAGGGAAGGGGAGAGTGAAGGGAAAAATGTTGATATCAAAAAGTCTTTTCTCATGCCTCTTTATCTTCCTGATGAAACGGAAACACTGAGTTTTTTTTTTTTTTTTGTAATTCGACTCGGTGGAATGGAAGGACGGGGATTCTTATTTTATATCCACAAAATTTTGCATTTAAGCATGTCGGAAGGCTCTCCACCGCATCCATCCGTGTACTGACTTAATTCATAGAAACTCATATTCTCCTTATCCACTTACTAACACCTTCGTCGCCCCCCTCTGAACCTCAATACATCCTCATCCTACACAACACATACACGCGTTTTCTTGTATTATTTTATTTTATTGTTCTTGGTTGCGTTCAACCAAACTATCTTTGGAACGCGTTGGCGCCATCCTCGGCAGATACAACGCTCATACACTTCCAGTCGCCCGTGTATGTTGCTATATCGAAGCAATTGGGCAAAAAAAAAAAAAAAAAAAAAAAAAGGTTTCGCAGCCATTGCTTGTAATGATTAATTTCAGTTAAATTGTGAAAAATAAAATAAAAAAAGTTCCTTATTACCTTTCCACAATCGGACCTTTCCATCATCCCCTGATGAAGAGAGGATCGTTCCAGTAACGTTCCATTCGACACGCCACACCTAATACAGATATTAAGAAAAAAAAAAGATCGGATTAACAATGCGCTTCTTGAATCCCAATTTTTTTTAAGAGAGACTAGTTGAGAATTGAGAAACCTGCTCGTACGCACCTCCGCGTTGTGATCCGGGAAATCAGCAATACGTGTTACATTGAACATCTTGCGGGTCCATCCACCCGATAATGCACCACCTTGATTGTCTTCGGTCAACTTGAATATCCTTACATGTCCATCTTTACATGCTGTAGCAATCAGGTGGTAACTCCTAGAGTACATAGATATAAAGGTATTGATATCATGTTTGAGGTCAATATCTGTCTATCAAAGAAGCGAAAGTATGATACAGTTGAATCACCCAGAGCAAGCCCACTTTTTTTTTTTTTTTTTTTTTTTTTTTTTTACCTTCCCATATTAGGCGCCCAACTCACATCATGGACCACACCTCCATGACCTCCCAAAACTTCACATGCCTGCCATTTACTGTTGTGGTCCTGTCTGAAGATCTAATGTATGTTATATATAGCCATAAAGGAATGAGATGAACGGAGATATAAAGTCAAAACAATCAATATAGACATAAATCGAATGAAAATCAAGCCAGCTCCTTTACCTTGGCAACATGATCCTTAGCACAACCAACGACCATCATCTGTGCAGCAAACTTCGCAGTACACCATGATAAACAATGGTTTCCTTCCTCGTCCTTGCTTGGTCCTTCTCCAACAGGGAAGGAGTCAATCATGGTCCAATGTGCCAGACTCGTCACATCCATGGCTTCATAAATCCGAACCAGCCCATCTGCAGCAGCAATAGCCTGTCAACAAAACATAAAAGTCAAATAAAAAAAAAGTAATATTCATGAAAAGAAATCAAGATTGAAGGATATAAACATGATCCCTGATCGGTTACTGTTTGGGTCAATATGAACGTTTCATATAAAAGCAAATACGTTTCATAATCATAATCACTGTACCAGACGAAGACCAAGGTGATTTGGTGCGAATTCTACGTCCTGAACAGTTCCGCTGTCATCCCTGAGAGTAGCAACTGCAGTCCACTTCTTGACTGCATCTAAAATAAATTAATAAAAAAGCCAACCATCCATTCACAGACCAAGAGAGGGAGAGACATGTTGGTATGGGTGTAACGACATTGAGCTTTTTTTTTTTTTTTTTTTTTTTTAAAAAAAAAACAAATTCTAACATTAGACAGAGCGATCAATTACCATGATAAGTTTCTTCCCAGACAATGACACTACGATCAAAAGAGCATGAAGCCAACACCTGTCCATATTCTGGATGTGCCCATGATGTCTTGAGAACCGCACAGGAATGGGCCTAGGAGAGAAGGGCAGACAAAGTTTGAAGTATGGAACCCGCTTAGTTGTCTGAATCATCAATCTTTTTTTTCCTTTATTTATTTATTTATTTTTTTTTTTAAAAAACTTGCCTTGAATGAAATATTGGATTCCCACACACCTTCTGCTTCATTGTAGTCCCAGATCTTTATTTTTTGGTCCGAAGAGCAAGTTGCTTTACAGCGAAGGGTTTATTTAAATGTTGAAGTTGCAGTTGAAGTTGAGTTACAAGAAGGACCGCAACAGTAAAATTCACAAAGTATAAAGGGCTTTTGTAGCCACATATTGTTCTGTTCAAGTTTCCTTACCGAGTCGGTTCCCGTAATAGTTGAACGCGACATCGTGGATGAGGTCCTCATGGGATCCTTCAAACTTTGTGACCTGATTCATTTATCGTTATCGTTAACGTGCGTTGTTTGCAATGGCGACCGTCTCTTCGTAATGTGATGAATGTTGAGGAAGGATATTGCCTGAGGAATGCGTCTCGTTTCGTTCCTGTCGCCCTTTCCTGACTGAATAAAAAGAAAATCAATATAGAAGGAAGAAGATGCAAAAAAAAAAAAATTGGGACTGTGCTTCTAGGCTTTGAATTTGTGTTAATATCTTTCCGTATCGTTTGTCCCCACAGACTGCAACGACTTTGTTGCTCAATTGGGACAATGATCGGGACTGTCATCAAAGAAGAGTTGTTATAAAGTAAAGGGCTAGTCACGGGAGCTAATTTTTTCTTCAACTTTCGACGCTTCTTACCAGCACATTTTGTTCTGGGGCAATTGGTCTTGCCGCCAGACCCTGGACGCTTTGGCTGGCTGTTGCAAGAGTAATTGTTCCGTATATATCTCAATTCCTCCAGAATCTTAAATGGAGTGAATTGTCGTCTTCCACGGCGAAATTTTATACATTTAGATATCCTTATCATATTTGCCATGCATGTAGTTTACGTTCAACATGAATCTGATTATGTGTTTTTTTTTTTTTTTTTTTTTTTTTGGTCATTTTATTATTATTAGGCTGCGATTCCTGAGGTTGCAATAGCATCCTCATTCCTAAACTTTTGCAATGAATTTGATTTGGCACAGCGTGTAAAGAACCGCAGAATCTTTAGATCGCGTTTATCTACTCGCATGGATTGCAAAAATGCTTCCACTACGCTCTCATCCGATGCTTTACCTGTCTTGTACAAGTTGTGAAACTGTATTGATTTGCTGTATAAAGTGTAGAAGTAAGAAAAAAAAAGTAAGCCATCTATACAATAATTCACAATCCATAGTTCAGTCCCTCTCAATAACGAATATGTAGTATGGGGAACAAACTGTACCTGACCCATTCATCTCGAAGCACTATCAGTCTCCTAGACTCTATAGTTCGAGGTAGTTTATAGTCCAGTATACCGTTCAAAGTATCGATATAAAGAAGACAAGGGTGTTTTTGAGGCGAAAGCGTTCTCCTCCCTAACGTATCTTTCCCATTCGTATCTTTAAAGTTATCGAGGTATAATGTTTCTGGTGGTTCCTCTCCTGCCTGCAGGAGATATTTCCTTGTCTGCCATAAAGCGCCCCCCTTAGGCGAATGCAGATTGCTTGGCAAAGATGTCGGAGGTTGGGTATGATCAATTGAACCATTCGAAGGCTTCCCCTCCGTAACAGCCACAACTTTCTCCATATGGACGCTTAGATCTTTTATGTCTGATACTAGTGTCGCGTTAGACCAATCCGCTTGGTATACAGGAGACATGTCTTCAGATCCATTCTTGCGGCGAGTATCAACAGGTAAAGATGTTGGGGGAGTTGGAATGTCATGACCAAGAGGATTTGTACAGATGTCAAGTAAAATAAAGTCTTGTGGGTCCAAATCAGTTGGAATTGGGATAGAACGATGGAGTCCAAGGATATTACACGCATAGCTCGGCTCATAGCAGGATCCGTCCAGAATAACAGTGCAGCAATCTTTAGGCAAAATCCCCTAAAAGCATTTAGTTAAGAATAAAGAGGAAAATTAAGAAATCAATCAACCAAATCCATCTGAATATGGAAACGCCTGCATTGCTTTCTACCCATGTAATTCCTTACAACTTACCTCTAGTAACCTGATAATGTCATGAACAACACTGGGCTCTTCTCCGCGCACGATGACTTGATTACCTACAACACTGTTCCATATAAGGCGATTGAATTGCTGGGGTCCAAGTGCTCGTCGTAGATCTCTCAAAGATTCAATGATGATGCTTTGGTGTCCATTATCGCTCGATTGCCGCTCATTTATTTTCTCATATGGATGAGGATCGCTCTACATTTATTATAGTTTAGTTAGTTATCAATGTCAGTCCGGTAGCTAGATTTGGAATAGACCCTGGCTCTCGATGTCATTAAAAAGAAATCGCATGTGCTATCCTGTGAATATATGATACATACAATAGGACGTCCTTGAATATATCGTTCTGTTAGCCTCCGACTGCAGCTGCTCAGCACAGAAACAAATGCAGCATGCAATTGAACAAAAATATCTGGTTTGGCTAAAACGTCTGTTAATGGTCGTCCACGTTTGGTCGGGGCATCTAGTGAAAGTGGAAATCGATCGCACGTGGTTAAAAAATTGTGTGTGACAATGCTCACGTCGGATAGCATTAGCTGCAGGGTCTACAATTGCAACTACAGTAGATGCACAGCTTACTCTCTGGCATGATGGATCCTCGATGATGGGATGAAGAGTAAGATAGAGACCGCGTTGCGGATGATTGATGCGGAGGACATAGAGCGTTTGCCATCGATTGGAGGTTCGATGCGATCACTTGAAATTGACTACGGCATTAAACAAGTTGATAAAAAAAAGAGAGGGAGTGCACAAGTACCATCTGTGTTCAGTGATCCACCAAATTACACATTATTTTCACAGTAGAGCATGGTCTGTCGTCCAAAATATATCGTACCTGATCAAATATTCCATGCTGGCAACAAGATAAACCCGATCTGTCATCATGGTCATAATTGTGTACTTGACTCTATGTCCGCGTGACTGTGCGTCGTAGACTGTAAACATGTATGAGAGCACATAGCCATTGACACCGTCGCCAAAGAAAACAGAACCTTCGCGTCCGCAGTAGGTTTCTGAGTTGAGGCTGGAAGACAGGATAGGAATTGAGTGGACGGTTAGATTTTTTTTTCTTCTTTTTTTTTTGCTGATCCCGCCCAGCCGCTCAAATTGAAGCAAAGCAAAAACGGCTGCGAATCGTGCATGCATCTGTTTTGTGCTGCGAAGTAGGCATGCAAATCACATACGATCGAATGCAGGCAATACGAATAGGTGCAAACAGACTGGCATCCACTGGAATGGGCTGACTAATGTAAGAGAGCTCATGATTGATGGGATCGACCGAATGAAGTGACTTTTCTCCACTTGGGATACTGAACTGACATTCACATGGATTACTATTGCTCGATGAATTGAGTGCAGGGTGGGCTGAGGATGGACGATTGGCAATGGAAACCTGACAGGATCCATTAAGTGACGATTGATGTATTGAACGTCTTGATTTTTTAGTTTCAAGAGGTGGCAAAGGATTTGTTCCTGTTGTTGCTCCTGTGACAGAGACGGAATTAGAGCTGTTCACTAGAGCAGTTTGCGAGTCGAATGATGAGGTTGAGGTTGAGGTAGGAGGGAGAGTACCCTTATTATGAACTGAAGAGGGATGGTCTTCGAGCAGAGCAATCGGTTGGGCTATGGAAATATTGTGAGGTAAAGATGGTAATGAAGGGGTATCGCTGCTGTTATTGGCGGCGTTGCCATTGTCAGCATTGGTGGTTCGTGTGTTTCTGGATGAAGACGTTCCATTGCAAGGTGAGGACGAAGGAGGACGACGATGCTGTGTAGTGAGAATTGTGACTGGGCCATGGGGTTGACACCAGACGGCAAGAGCAATCAATGCATTCATGACAAACCAGATGGAATTGAGAGGAGGAGAGGGGAGCACTCAAAAGGTTTAAGAAACGGTGTACATATAAATGAGTGTTGCAATGGGAGAGGAGAAGAGGCGTAAAGTGGCTGAAAGCGAGCGGGATGAAGAGTGAAAGGAGCGAAGGAAAGGGATGATGGAGGCGTGGTGGAGCTGAAGCAGAGAGCAAGTGACGTGGGCCATGAGCGTACTCCAACCACATTCTTATATATTTTATTATTTTAAATTGTTTTGAGGGCCGCAGAGATGCCACATGGCATGGTTTTATTATTGAACCATGGGACACACTTAACAGAATCAAGATCTGCTGTTCTGTCTTCCTGCATGCCATGTAAACATGAATAAAAAAAAGGTTAAATCGCATGTACATCTTTTTATTCTATTTTCAAATGCCAATGTCTTTCTGTCTTGTATGCATAGTGATATAATTCACTTTAGGATCTAAGGCGTCGTGGGTTTATCGGGCTTCACACCTTCATATACTGCACCAATAATCTTTAATGCACGAGCACGCTCCAACAATGTCGCCTTGGGGACAGCGGGGTCGCCCAGAACTTTGTCACAAACATCACGCAGAACACCTTAAACAAAGAAATAAAAAAATAAGGTTGTAAGTTCAAAGTCCTTTCAAAAGTTCGCCAATGACCCCTGAGCCATGGTTCCGTTAACAAAATCATATGGCAAGACCGATAGAATTGATTAAAAAAAGACATACCTTCCACCTCAAGCTTGGAGCCCTTCCAAAGAGCACGAAGTCCCTTAGATGCTGCTGCCTCTTCAAGAGCCTTTTTAGCGGCCTCGTCCATTGCTTCCTTCTCAGCCTCTTGCAGCTGAGTAAAGCTCTGCTGGAGATCCATTGCTGCTCGAAGAGTGGAGACAGTTTCTGAGAGAATATGTCCCTTTTCACGTACGCCATGGAACCAGCTGCCAAGACCTAGCATTTCGTTCTTGCCGAGATACTGTTTGGCTTTCAAAGTATAGGTGAACCCAATAGCATGCAGCAGTTCCACACCATAGCTCTCTGCTTTCAAGTCCTCGGCCTCCAAACGGATCATTTCCTGATATCCCTTGGCAGCTTCGAGATCACAAGGACCATCTGTAAAAATGCTGAGTTTGTGTATCAGATTTTTAACGAGCTTATCTACACGAGCCTGACGAGCTTCGTCCCTCGCTTTGTCCTTGGATTCGTTAGCAGATGCTTCCCGCTTCGCCTTTTCTTCTGGAGACAATCCTGCTGTGGTTTCATCCTCAGGGTCATTGAGGGCATCCCGCATGTCACGTCCGATCGAAATTTCTCCAATAATATCAACAAAGCGATCTCCTCCAAATTGTTGTTTGAAGAATGCTTCGGGGTTTACTGTTAGGAGTTAATTAAAAAAAAAAAAAAAAAATAAAAAAAATAAATAAATACAAATAATAATAACAATAATAATTCTTGGCCAGTTGTCTATAATAGATCTCTTCGTAAGCGTTGTGCTTCTGATGTTCGTTTATGCGATGCCACCTACCGAAGCCTCCTTCTGGCGACACGTCTTTGTTATGGCCATACATGTTGTAGTCAGACCGCAATTTAGGGTCTGAGAGGACCTGATATGCCTCCGAGATCTTTTGAAACTATTATTACACATATCAGAGTAAAAAAAACCAAATTAGGCTTTAGCGGACTATTGTTGTTTCCAAACCCACGTGCCTCCCACGAGATTACAGCACAAGTTGTTGCCACTGAAAAAATGTGATTTTTTTACCTTGGCATGTGCATCGGGGTCAGGATTTTTATCTGGATGGTTCTGGAGTGCCAAGGCTCTGTAATTCTTTTTGATTTGGGCGGGAGTGGCATCGACTGGTACGCCTAGAATATCATACAGTTCGGTTTCTAAGGGACTGGCATCTGAATATTCATAATAGAAAAAAAAAGGAACCGATGGTTGGTCATTAGGATCAATGTAATGAAGAGTTTGTAGAATGTGTCAATCAGAGCCAAAAGAATATGTTTAGAATCAAAAAAAAAAAAAAAAAAAAAAAAAAAATACCGGTGCCTGTGCCAGTTCTCTTTGGTTTGGAGGAGGGACCATCCTTCTTGTTGTTGTTAGAGCTACTGCTTTTGGGTGAGCTTGTGCCTGTAGAAGCAGAGGCAGAGGCACCTTTCTCTGGGTACTGAATATCGATGCTGAGGACTTGTTTACAGACATAACATTCAATGTAGGTGACATCGCCTGTGCTTTTTGGTATGGGGAATTCCACAGGGGTTTTGCAGCCCACACATTCTGCAGTCAAGTACTGAGGCTTCCTAGATTTGATGATTGTAGGTTCCATTGTTTGTAATTATGTTTGATTGAAGACGGGATGAAGAGAGAGGAGGTGATTGTGTAAATAGTTAAGCGATTGTAGGGTGGCTCAATGACTGCAATTGTGCAGCAGAGTGACTCATGCAACAAGTCAAGGAGGATGGAGCTGAGTGGAGGGAAGCGAGGAGAAAAGGGAAAACAAACAAACAAAAGATAATAATTCCTAAACTCGTTGCTTTGCAAGAGTTGTCAGTCAACACAGTCACTTGATCATTCGATTCATTCGATTCATTCGATTCATTCATAAATTCATCTCATCTCTTACTCCATTTCATTTCTCATTTCTTCACAATTTTATTCTCACTCTCACTCTCACTCTCACTCTCACTCTCACTCATTTTTATTCCCACTTGTCTAGATCATTTTCGATCCTACTTTCAACAACGTAAACCTCCCACTCCAGCATCATCGTCATATTTTTAGTGTTCATCCCTTTATTCCTTCAATTTACTTTTTCATTTCTCTTCATTTTCTCAACAGCACTCAGCATATCTTTATCTATTTTGTTTCTTGTTCATTGCCTCTTTACATTCTTCAGAAACGTAAGTTATTATTCATTCACCTCCTTTCTTTACCAGGGCTTATGAGAAAAAAAAGAGAAAGAAAAGCATTTATGACATCATATACATCACACACATGTGCGCACACATGTTACATCTCATCGCAACATCAACAACGACAGCAGCAAGAAGTTAAAAAAAAGCGAGTGCTTTTTTAATTGAGTAATCCACTTGTCTACTGCTATTGTCTCTTGTGAGGCTCTCTCTTTCTCCCTCTTTGCCCCTCCATAAATATTGCATATATGCAAAGAGAAGGAGTAAAGTGAAAGAGAGAGGAGGAACACAAGCTGTGGTGGGCTTGCATGAGTTGAGTAAATGAAAAAGTGCTCTCGTGTTGACATCGTTGTTATTGAAGGCTCTTTTCTTCTCTCTTTTCTCTTTCGTCTCTCCATGGACGAGGACAGGGTCGAAGAAAGAGAGAGGAGGACTGGCTTGTTTTCTTGTTCTATTCTTTTTTCTTTTTTTTTTTAAAAATGTTCTTTGGAATGAGCACCATGTCTGTCATCATCAATGACTAACTAAACTTGTCATTAAAAAAAAAGGATTCTCATCTGCTCGTCTTTCATGTTCTGTTTTCTATTCCCATTTCATTTTTGCTTCCCTCCTCTTTGTTGCTCCACTCCTTTTCTCTCTCCTGCAGCTTTCTTTTTTTTTTTTTAAGCATTGAGTTGGGCACGCCATTTCCCAATCTTTCTGCTTTTCCCTTCGTCCCTCATACCTCTTCTCAGTATAATATATACAAAGCTGCAATCCTCCCTTGCCGTCCAAACGTGGGTTTCTAACCTTCTCATTCTTTCTTGGCTTATAGTAGCACATCATACTAATTGTTTTTCTTTACTCTCTCTTTTTTCTTTTCTTTTTCTTTTCTTTTTTTTTTTTTTGCACTCTTTTACAGATCCTACACTCGTCTGTACAATGAATCCGGGGCGATCATCTGCATTTTAAAGAAGGAACTTTTTAGTCCATCCTACTCTTCAGGAGATTCAAAGTCCATCCAAAAAAAACCCAATTCAATACCCTCCTCAGAAAACGATATCCACTCATACTTTTAATCTCACAAATCAATATAAATTTTGCCATGTCTTCAAAATCCAATTCAGTGGCACCTTCGTCATCCATTACCAATCTGGCCAACAAAGTCATCAACCGTATCGCCAATAACAGTAATAGCAACAACAATAGTAATCATAACAACAGTAGTCATAACACAATGGAGGAAGAAGAGGACTCTGGCGAAAATGAAGATGACGAAGATGCAGGAATAATCCGTTGTATCTGCAACTATACTGATGACGATGGATTCACCATCCAATGCGAACGCTGCCTTGTATGGCAACATGCCGTCTGTGTTGGTATTGGTCAATCTAATGTCCCAGACAAATACCTTTGCGAGCTCTGTAGTCCTCGCTCTGTCGACAGGAAACGTGCCAACGAGATTCAACGGAGGAGAAATGGAACTTTGGAGCGCAAAAGAGAAAAGTCACCTTCAAGGAAAAAACCTACTGTAGGAAGACCTCGGAAACAATTCGGTTCAGCAAACAGTGCTCTTTCAGACCAGAACGCCGCCCCTGGCTCCACAACCTCCAACTCAAAGGAAAATGGCGCACATCATAGTGTAGGCAGCAATAGTGTGAGCAACGGTTTTCAAGGAAAAAACCCTTCAATGTCAATAGATGTAAATGGGAGGAGGAGTAAAGGCGCCACAAGCAACAAGCATTCTCAACTTCAATCCCACAGCAACCCTTCACCCTTGCAGCATTCTTCCAATAAACATAAATCAGCTGGACAAGCCAATGGCTCCAAGACGTCTTCAAATATTAATGACGATGAGGACCTGGATATGGAGAATGATGGTCATGACACTATGGGAGCCTACCAGGTCGAGTTTTCGTCCATCGACACAAATATTGTCACGTCAAAGCCTGTCCAAGACCTCTTTCGACAGGTGATCGCCCAGTTCCGACAAGCACAATCAAGAAAGCGATCACTCTCGTTGACTTCAGGGGTGAAGCTTCACGAGCTTGTTGCTGCCAGTGCCAATACAGGCAGTAATAATACCCAATCATCTATAGGAACCGAAAGCACCGAGTCTTCATCCGGCTCACTTGGATCACAGCTTCCTCCGACGCCGCCAACATCCAACACTGATCCTTCTAATGTAGTTTCTATGGAGCGTGAGTCCTTGGCGCGACCTCTTATGAAGACAACTGTCAAGCACATTTTGTCTTCATCAAAGTCGACTCATTCCCCAACACCGCAATATGGACTCTTCGCAGAAAGCAACATTGGCGCAGGAAGATTCATGATGGAATTCAAGGGCGAAGTTTCCCTTAAATCAGCTTACAAGGCTGATCCTATCAACCAATACTCCATTCTGGCCACCCCAAAACCCTTTGTCCTTTTTCATCCTCACCTCAACCTCGTTGTTGATGCAAGACGAAGTGGTAATGATGCTCGATTTGTTAGAAGGTCATGTGTACCAAACACAGAAGTCAAAAGCATTGTCGTCCCGGGAGTTCAGGATCAGACTGTTCACCTTGGTTTATTCGCAAAGGTTCCTATCGCTAAAGGCCAGGAGATTACTCTTGACTGGGACTGGAATAGGGATCATCCGGCGTTGCAACCCATTGGGGCCTCGTCAGATAAGCCAAAGGACAACTCCGTAAAACGTAATACCAAGGAAATCCGGAAGGCTAAGCATCTTGTCGCATCTACTTTACTTGCACAAACAGACTGCGCTTGTGAAAACAAAGAAACATGTTTATTACATCGAATGTTGAGAGATGGAATGTCTGAATCTGGGGCTCGCGACCATGAAACCCCTACTACGACTAAAGGAAATCGTCCAAAAAAGGGAACCACTGCCGAGAGTTTGCGACAGCGGTATGGTAATCAGAGAGACAGACCAGATGGGAAGCGCTCAGCAGATCAGGAAACGAGCGACGAAGACCTTTCTATTGCTGGAAGCAGCCCAAGACGGAAGTCTCCTAAAGCAAGCAAGCTTGAGAGTTCTTCTAAAAAGGCACGACATGAGGCCTCACCAAATAATCTTCGGAGTAATCGAGAACAAGACATGGAGTCGGATTCTGATTCAGATGATCAGCGACGACGCAAACAGCCTACATCAGAGAGAGTAGGATCGCCACCCAAGCGCTCTAACCTTGGAAGTCCAGAAATGTCGGTGCGGGAAATGAAGCAGGCTCTGATTCAAATTAAGAAGATGGAAGATAGGGATGCGGCCCACGCAGGACATGCAAAGCAAAAACCAGCAGAAGCTAAACTTGGTGTTACTTCAAAGTCTCGGACAAGGAGCAAAGGCCGATCACAAGAAGTCGAGCAAAAACCCTCATCATCTCATAAAAACACTAACGCCATTGAAGACGACGATGTTTCTATTGGCGATAGTGGAATTGACTCCGATTCTAATAACCGATCTTCCCAAAAGGACTCTTTCCTCGCAAGGAACAAACAGTCTAAATCTCAAGGTAAAAAAACAAAAAAAATAATTGTATTGTTGAGCAAAAATACATAAGCAAATATGGCTGATCATTTCTTGAATGTGCCAATGTTATAACTAATAGGTAAATGGGATATGGAACAATGGGACCAGGATATGCCGTCACATTCGTCTGCAGCATCAGATTCTGACAGGACAGAGTCTAGCAGCAGGGTGCTCAGAAGAGCTTCTTCAATTTCATCTGAAAAGAAGCAACCTTATACTGCTGCGTCCAGAGGGAAGCGTATGGCAAACTACTCAGCCTCAGAATCCTTGTCTAAGAAGCGCTCTACATCCCACACATTAGAGTCACAAGACGATCTTCAAAACATCTCACGATCAAGCTCTATGGATGGAAGCTTCGTAAGCATCCTCGGGAACACAAGTGACGAAGAGGGTGAATCCTTTCATGAGACAGAGCGGAGGGTTTTGCGAGAGAAAAATTTGCCAAAGGAGACATTTCCAACAGTATCCCTTAGATCGTCTGCCTTGCCTTGCAAAAAGGTTTGGAAGATGATTTATCTCAAACAGAGGGCACTGGCGGAGGCCGAAGCGCTTGAGCGGGCTGAGGAGATGAGGAAGAAAGCTGAGGAAGTGTTCGATATCAAGATGGAGGAGAGCGATGTGTCAATAAATGGTTCCAACGTATCCACAGTTGCGAACGACCCTACAGCTGTCGAGTTACCATCATCCGAATCAGATGATGCCCTCAAACGACCAAAGGAACCCGCCACTTTTCAACCGTCATTTGAAAATGACGACGCTCTACAGCCATCCATTGTTGAAGGCGATGTTCTCAATCTATTTCATGAAGACGTCAAGCCGGAGAATAGTTCATCAGGACCAGTTAAGCGTGGGCATCACCTTGAATCAAGAGCAGAGGAAAAGCTCAAGTCTCGTGCACCAGTTATAAAGCAACCAGTTGTAATTAAGCCTCAAGAGTCCAACGCTGGCTCGCACACAGCTACAATGACTGACCGACTGGAGATATCTCAAAAGTCTAACATGGAGCCATATCATGCAAAGCGAGCTGTTTCGAATTCACCTATTCCTTCTAAAGTCTCGCTTGAGGCTGCACCGACCTCTATAGACACAGATAATCATGTATCCAATGCATCGGAAAGCATAGATGTAGAGATGAGTGAGCCTGGTCCTAACAAAGGCGTCGATGGTGCGCAAAATGCGTCTATTGCTGCAGATCATGTAAGTTCCCTGGCAACCTCACAACCAGAGCCAAAAGTTGAAGCTGCCCCAGTTATTCCAAAAGTCAAACTTTCACTGCAAGAGTACCAGAAGCAGCGCCAAGAGGCCTCACAGCGTAATGTTTATGCTGAATCAGAGATTCTAAAGCAGGATAAAACTGGATATGAAGGGTACGATGACGAGGACGAAGCGTTTAATGAGGCAAGTCAGGAACCTGTAGATATTGAAATGGTGGAGTCAAAGGGTCCGGTGACACTGTCGGTGTCAGAGAAAGGGCCATCTTCAAGTGGTGACTACTTTCAGGTAGAGAGTAATCTGCCGACACCTCTAATAGGGTTGTCCTCCCGTACTCAAAGTGGTTCTACTAGTGAATATTTCCCTGTCCAGCCATTCAGTCCTGCTTCTCTCGGCCCTGCGTCATTCTCTAAGCTAAATTTGAGTCCCTCGTCACCGTCACGGTCATCTGCACCTATGGATACATCCTCTCGACCCGAGGTAGATCCCTCTGTTGAAGGAAGGTTTTTAGGGAAGCCACCAACTGGCCAGCGCTTGCCTCATAGCTCCAGCCCCAGAGACCCTTCAAACGCCAATATGGTGCTGAAGAGTTCTGTAAATAAATCTGGATCATCCCCTCCACCCAACAATCCCAACAATAGCATTTCTGGATGGAGAACACCTCGTAATCAACGAGGACATTCGCCCCCGGCGCCAATGTCAATTGGAACTAATGGGAATTATCGCAGTATGCCATCTTCAGAATATCGGTCCATGGATGCACGATCATCGGATGCCCGTTTAGCCTCTCCTCGGTTCTTTGGTTCACCTTCTGATCGATCGGAACGGACAGCTCCTGGATCTTTAAATTCACCTGCGAGGGAGCGTCAGCACTCGTTGACTTCAGGATCCATTCCGTCTTCACCGTTCGAGCCTAATCATCTATCATCCAATGTTCACTATGGTTACAACGAGGAGCCTTCATTTAAACGTACAGGACCTTTGTCTTCGCCGACAGGTCATCCTGGATCATCTGGTCCACGTGATTACTACAAAGGAGATGAGCGAGCTCGGCACCGATCCATGAATGGAGATGAATGGAGCTACGGCGATATGGATTCATCTGGGTATGGAGGTTACCGAGGCCCTCGTGGTGGCCCTCCTCCTCCTCCAAGAGACAGAGATCGTGAAAGAGATCGTGAACGTGAACATGATAGGGAGCGCGAGCGTGAACGCCGCGATCGTTTTGATCGACGGAACGATTACTTTGGCACTGGTCCTTCTGGACCAGGTAATGGAGGAGGCCAGGCCGGCAACAATGGTGCAGGGTTTTATGGATCAAATCGAGGACCTCGAGGAGGCCCTGGTGTACCGGGTGGAATAGGTGGTGGATATGGTCGGCGGCCCAATGACTATTTCAATGGCCAGGGACGTGAGGAAGGATACAATGGCAATGGCCCGAGTAGCGGAAAGAAGGATGGGCTGCCGGACAATTCATCTCTTTCATACTAGTCTGGCTTTGCTGTCTTTTTTCTATTTCTTTTTTTTTTTTTTTTTTAATTATCCTGGTCGTTTACTCTTCTTTTTTGTCTCTTCTTGATCTTTTTTTTTTTTTTTTTTCTTTTTTCTTTTTTCTTTTTTCTATTCTTTCGTATATGAGTGTATCTCAGCTGTTATAATGTGCCTTCTTTTTGTAATACTCTTTTCTGTTCCTTTCATCAGTACTCTCTGTCTGTCTGTCTCTGTCTATCTGACTTCTTTCTCCATCTTCAACCATTGTATTGATATAAGTGTAACATAACTGAGCCCTTTCACCAAAATAAAATTGTTGTTTGTTGTGGCTGTGTGATTAATGTCCTTAAGTTTGGTGGCGAGTTTTTTTTTTTTTTCTTTCCTCACATGGCAGCAAACATTAAGTTCCATCATGAGCGTATACAAACCTGAAGATGAGCAGAATCAGCATCAGGAGAGCCAGGTGCCACTTGAAGCTATCACGCCTAGACCGCTTGTTTTCCCACCATTGACACATCAACGACTGGAGAACTGTTCCTTTTCAGCCTGGTATCCAATTTTTCGAGCCAATACCATAAAGTCGAAAATCATTGCTCTACCAGAGGATTTTATTTCATATCTGAACGCAGATGGTGTTTTTATTCCTGGGCAAAGGTAACTCATACACCTTGCTTTGTGTTTTGCTTCTATCGACTCTTTTTTCTTTTTTTTTTTTTTTTTTTTTTTCTATGAGTATGGGGTAGAATATTTCTAACCTGATCCATGGCTTTTCCTTCTTTCTTTCTTCCGCTCTTACAAGTGGCATTTCAATGGCATTAAGCGACAGTGAAGATGATCATATCAGTGACATGGATCGTCTTCGGGCTTTCAAGGAGAGAACATTTCGACAGGCAACTACAAATGATAACGATAGTAGTGACGATGATAATGACGATGATGAGGAGGTATCTTTTTATGTTTTATAAAAGTATACTGTCTTTGGCTCAAATAGCCCTTGTTGAACCATTTATTTATTTTTAATGAGATACAGGTCCCATTACCCTCTTTCCCTACATTAGAACGAGAAATTGAAAAAACGATCGAAGATCTTGGAGGAGAAGTATTTCCAAAGCTCAACTGGAGTTCGCCTCGAGATGCTAGTTGGATCGCGCCTACCAACACTCTTAAATGCCATAACGCTGCTGATATCTTTTTATTGCTGAAATCGTCAGATTTTGTGGCTCATGATCTTGCACATGCTTATGAGGATTGTTCAGATGGCGCGCCCCTGACGACAAGGAAGGATCACATCATTACCAAAAAGGCTGCAGAGGTTGATGTTGATGCTGATGTTGCTGTTGGTGTACGGCAAAGACCCGAGACCATAGAGCTGGTTCTTCGAAAGTGGTTTGATTTGGCGCCTTCAATGGAATTTAGATGTTTTGTCAAAGGTCATCAGCTGGTAGGCGTCTCACAACGGGATATGACCTATTATGACTTCCTGAAGGGCATCAAGGACGAATTGGAACAAAAGATCATTGCCTTTTATGAAGAGAAGATCAGGAATAAATTCCCGGATCCTGACTGTAAGTCCTACCTTTTTCTTCTCTCTCTATTTCCTTGGTTCGAAATCTCATTTTACTGAATACTTTTTTTTTTTTTTATTTTTATTTTTTTAAAAAAAAATTGGCAAAAAAGATACATTTGATGTGTACATCACCAGGAATAGAGAGCGGATCTACGTGATTGATTTTAATCCATTCGCCCAAAAGACAGACTCTCTATTGTTTGAATGGGAGGAACTCGTTTCAGCCAAAGAACGTCTCCCTCTAAGGCTTTTAGCTTCCGAGGCAGCTGGTCAACATATGAAGCAACCTTTTGCCTTCAATCGCTATCCATCTGATGTTACGGATCTGTCCAATGGTCAAACAGTGGCTGATTTCGCAGAGGCATTTTATAAAAAGGTGCAGGCCGCCAATGAAAAATGATTTTTATTTTTATTTTTTATTTTTTTATTATTATAATTATTGTTCCCTATTGCTCAAGGTTTGCTGCTTCAGTCCACGACGATTGTTCTGGAAGTTGGGATGATACCCAGTTGGAATCTAGTAGCAACGACAGATCCTCTCCATTTGAACGTGGGATTTTCTAACGAGAAAAAAAGAAAAAAAAGAAAAATGAATGGATAAGAAACATTAAATAACCTATATTAAAAAAAGTATTTCATCCAAACAAAACTTTAAAATCAAACATGACATTACTGCGCGTATTTCTTTGTAAGAGCTTTCACGAGTGGAGCATTCTCTGACAACAGCGTTGGTTCCAAACCGATGATAAATCCTAGTGTCATGGATACGGAAAAGCACATCATCTACGCGTAGGAAGAAGCGCAAAAGGATGAGAAAACACGATGGCATGACGCGCTATGAGTGTCGAGAAAGAAATAGAAGCAGAAAATATATATACGGGATGGAGTATATTGGAGATAATATTAGTAAAAGTTGAGCCTGGTATACATTTATATCCTCTTTCCTTCCCTTGGGAGTAGAGAAAAAAAAAAAAAAAAAAAAAAAAAAAAAAAAGGCTTACCACTTTGGTCGTCAGAACAGCGGTGCCATTGTCTGCAAGTTCATCCTCAAACAAAATATTTTCATCATAAAAGAGGATAGGATCAGGTCGTCTGAGCTGTTCGATATCGATGATTTCAGTTGTAGTAGGTGTAAATTGCATCTTTTCATGGACGCTCAAGTTGGTGCCATTGTACTTTGTTGTGTATGTCCAGTCATATGGCTTGACAACATCCGTGATATGCTCCTGGTTTACCATACTATGGTGAAGGCATAAAAAATTGTTGATATAACCTTCAGATAAAAATGAAATAATAATAATAATAAACTTGGATGCTTGCTGATTATAAACTAACCTTCGCTTGTCAAACCATTCCCTTGCATACGAGACTTTGATCAGATCGCTACTCTTGGATGATTGATCCACCATCGCCAGTGCAGGCAAAGCTTTGAATTCAAGCTTAAACCCAGAAGTGTGTTCAATCGATAAGAAATTATTGCCAAAAATCATTTCTGGGATAGGGATCCCCAAGTCTGCAGACGCACTTTTTTTTTTTTTTTTTTTTTTTTTTTTAATGATTGATAAGGTCAACAAAATAAAGAGGGATCGATATATTAGCATGTCAGTATCAAGACAATACCAAGTGTAATGCACAGCGTTTCTTTTTTTTTTTTTTAGCATAAGCTTTTTTCTTTTTTTTCCTCCACTTTTCTCCCTTACGCGTCAATTTCCTGGGAATTAAGAATGGACGTTTTATATGAGAGCACAGTCCATCCTTGAATATCAATGCCATTAGTCTGTTTGTCCTTAATAAGTTTGTGAGTCATTGTTCCTAATCCTGTTCCGTCCCTTATTGTTGCTGCAGCTGTTACTGACATGCTTTTCAGTGATTAGCGTGTGGGGAATGAGAGTAGAGAATGGTAAGAAGCAAAGAAAAAACTGGCCAACGGCAAAAAAAAACAGAGGAAAGGGGTATGGGAGAACAATAAGAGGGTGATCTTGCGCCAATTCAAGGCAGTCACAATCGTCAGGCCTTTTATTAAGTTTTTTTGCTTGCTTGTGAAGAAAAGATAAAGTCTCGCAAGTCTTCATACGCCTTCTTCAGTTGGTCGTTGATGACTACATGGTCAAAGTTGCTAGGGTCCATACCATAGCCCCATTCGTTTTTGGCCCGGTGTAACCGTTTCTGAATCGCTTCCTCTGTTTCTGTTCCTCGTCCTCTTAAACGGGTCTCCAAGGTGTCTAAACTTTTAGGTCGTACAAAAACATATCGAGCCTGTAAACCTGATTTACGGACATGTTGTACACCCTGAAGATCAATATCCAAGATACAAATCTTGCCACTCTCAAAAACATCTTGAACAGCTTTCTTACTGGTTCCGTAATGGTTCCCAGAAAAGACTGCGTGTTCTAGAAACCGATCTTGATTGATTAATTCTTGAATCTCATCTTCTGTGACAAAGTGATACGCGATACCATCCTTCTCTCCAGGTCTTGGCTTTCGTGTTGTATCTTTAATGAATTAAAGTAATGGTAATAAGGATAATCGTAACTAATAGTGAAGGAGGGAAAAATAATAATAATAATAATTAAAAATAAGGGGAAAATAAAAAAAATAAAGCACTTACGAGATACACTAAATCCAAAAGTTGAGGGGTATTCTTGAAATAGCTTCTCAATAAGAGTTGATTTCCCGCTCCCAGAAGGCCCGGTGATCACAATAGGTCGTTTATCAACTACATTTCAAAAGATGCTGCTCGTTAATCACCGTAAGTATGTTACCGTTTTCTCTCCCCCCCCCCCTTTTTTTTATTGTTGTTGTCGCTGTTGTTATTACAATGTCTTTGTGGATTGATACAATACCCAAAATTGGTGGCGAAGGGCCTTTGAGTGTGCTTGTAGTATAATTGCGGCTGAGGGTAGCAAGCGATAGACATGAAACCAATGATTGGCGTGATCTTATCGCCCCTTCCACGTTTCGAAAGAGCGTTGGAGAGAGAGCAAACATAGTTTTTGTGGTTATGGGAAAGGGAGCGAAGGTGGAGGGTTGGGATGGTTGGAGGTTGATCAGGCGCAGGCAGTCACTTTTTTTTTTTTTTTTTTTTTTTTTTAAGGCTATCGAGTGGCTTTGTATGTTTGTAAAAACTATTTTTTTTTTTTTTTTTTTTTTCTATAGTTGAGGGTCATTGCTTTGCCTATAAGCGCATTCAAACTTTTTTTTTTTTTTTGTTTTGCTCCTGCATCCACATTTCATTCCATTCTTATTTCCTCCATCCTACTCTCTTCCCTTCAAGTAAAAAAGAAAAGAAGGAAAGAACGAGAAAGGAAAAGACTTCCATATCATTAATATACTCTTCTTTTTTAAACACACACACATATATATATATTAATATATTCAAGAAAAATGTCGTCGTCCCTGGCTGCTTATAAGGGCCCGAAGCCCGTTGCAAAGCATAATGACATGGAGGAGGATGAAGACGATGTTTTGATCTCGGCTGATACCCTGCCAGGACATGGAAACGCTACTGGACACACTGCCGAGACCGAGGCTAATGCTGAGGATATGGACATGGATAATGAAGTGGAAAAACCAAAGTTCAAAGCTTTAAGCGCCAACCAAATGACTGTATGTTTCTACTTTTTTTTTTTTGTACAATATCAAAAGCAAGTTCCATGGTATCTCTTATATTTAAAAATTTATTGTGTGGATCAAATAGAGCAAAAATTCAGCCCAACAACGCAAGATCCCTATTCCTCCACATCGTATGACACCATTGAAAAACGAATGGATGAAAATATACTCTCCCTTGGTTGATCATCTCAAACTTCAAGTTCGTATGAATATCAAGTCCAAATCTGTTGAAATTAGGGTACTTTTTTTTTTTTTTTTTTTTTTTTCTTTCTTTCTTTCTTCTTCAGTAATGTCGAAGGGTAGTGAATTTATCTTGTTTATGTTTTTTTTTTTTAAAAAAAAAAAAAAAAAAGCACTAATTCAATCCACTTGGTATTATGATTACTTCCACTTCTTATATAAAACTATAGACATCAAAACATACAGTTGATACTGGAGCATTACAGAAAGGAGCCGATTTTATCAAAGCTTTTGCTCTGGGATTTGATATTGATGTAAGTCGACACAAAGAAAGAAAGAAAGAAAGAAAGAAAGAAAGGGAATGCAGCAATAAACTAAACACTACTTATAAATACCTCTTTTCTTTCAGGATGCCACCGCATTGTTAAGATTGGATGATTTATATCTGGATTCGTTTGAGATCAAGGATGTCAAGACTTTGAATGGTGATCATTTGTCGCGTGCTATTGGTCGTATTGCAGGAAAGGATGGAAAGACCAAGTTTACAATTGAGAACGCTAGCAAAACTCGTATTGTCCTTGCAGACACTCGTATCCATATCTTGGGATCTTTTCAAAATATTAAGACTGCTAGAGATGCTATTGTGGCACTTATCTTGGGTTCGCCACCCGGCAAGGTCTACTCAACACTGCGAACCAAGGCAGCTCGTATGAAGGAGCGTTTTTAAAAAAAAGAAAGAAAAGAAATTAAATAGAAAAAAAAAAAAAATAATAATAATCGATGGTCATTATATTTTCGAAAGCTTTCTATCTCCCCTCTGCATTGTCTATACAGCATTTATTATTATTTTCAATACATAGTCCATCCCATTAAAAAACGAGACATTCCACATCTATTGTAAAAAGAAGAAATGTATTAGAACACAGAAATAAATAAATAAATAAATTAACCAAGAAAAAAAAGTACTATCAAGCCAATACTTACAATTTTTTTAAGACGAAGGCCTTTCTGGACCTAGTCATGTTTGTAGTAGATTGTGTCCTACTGTTGTTGCCGGCTTGTCTCTCCCCCTCCTCCTGGACCCAGCAAAGGTCCTTTCGGTGGTCTTGATCCCTCTACTCCTCCTCCTCCTTCATCTGAAAATTTCCTTTTTGTGGGTCTGCTACTACCACCACCACTGCCACCACCACCAAGCCTTCGCCATGACAATCAACAAGAAATGAAAAAAAAAAAAAAAAAAAAAAAAAAAAAAAAAACAGACTTCCTTACGTCCCCCCTCGGTATGTGTATCTGTCTGAACACGTCCTAACTGACATCCTCTCGACAATCCTTCCAAGGCTGCAGTGTTTGAATGTGTACAGGGAACAAAAGAGGTCTAGATACAGGCTCTCTTTGTGACATTGAAGGAGATCGCATGTTTCATGGCTATCAAGACAAGGTACCCCTACAGGCACAAGACAAAGGTATAACTCGGTTCAAACTCAAAGGAACGATTTTGCCAATGGCCTTGTTCTGAATCCACTTGCCTATGACACAGTCCAGACGAAGAGACAGCAGCAGTCTGACGTAGATGAAGAAGATCTCAGCCAGGGATTGAAACTTTCACAAGGGTTCCTTAACACGGCGTGTTTTAAAGGCAGCCGGTGAAGACCTGACAGATGAAGACTACGCAAACATAAACTGGAAGAGGAGCCCCAAACTTCTTGAAAACGTTGGACTCATATTCCATGAGCTAGGGCGATGCTCATCTGCAAATACCACAACTACCGTCTAATGCGATCCTGGTATTGTTAATGCCCTCACGTTTTCTTCGCTAGACCGTCACACCCCTGACCTGCGTCAAACGGTGAAGGTGAGAAGTAGGCTCGTCAACAGCCTGTGTGCCTTATATGCGTTGCACCAATACTCACTGACAGGTTGAGTCCAAATTCGAGATACCAAAATAGCCTTCGCTGAATCCATGGGGAGGAAAGACACCAAGCCGGCAACAACAATAGGATATGATCAGTTGCATATTTCACAGTACACGTGCTACATGAAAATTTATAATACAGACATACTAACAGCTCTATGTCCCATGGTGTGGTGCCCGAGACAAACTTGCAGTTTTATTTTGATACAAATTTGGATAAATGCCCCATGGATGTGATGTGTGAACCCACATCCTATTCTCACTTCTGCTCCCTGGTTACTATTTGTCTGTCTAAAATTTTTCATGAGCTACTACAAACATGACTAGGTCGGGAAAGGCCTTCGTCTTGAAAAAGTTGTAAGTATTAGCTCGACAGTGCTTTCTTGACTAATCTCTTTATTTCTATGCTTGGTCTAGATGGTGTTTTTTTATGAGGAGGACTATTTAGACAACATATAGACCCCACATATCTTAATCATAATAAATTGGCTTGGTGGCATTGTTGTAAAAAATAAGGGATAGAAAGATAGACACAATCAGGAAAAGGCAGGACAAAGAGTGTCAACAAGATTGACAAGAGAAAATAGAGTCAAATAACCTTGACTACAAACAGCGCCATAGAATGTCAAAAGAAAAGATGGGAGCTTTATAGGTGAGCTCACAAACTGAGTTACCGGAAGACAAATGCTTGTTGTGAAAAGGGGAAAAAGATAAATGGCAAGATGAACTGCAGGTGAAGAATAAGACATGTGGGGAAAACTGAAGACTTTATTAAGAAGGAAGTTTCTTTGGCTTTTATACTCGGTAGCTTCTAGGTAAGGCGGACCCGCCTATGACTACAAAGGGCTTTTGCGCAAAGATTCCTTAAGCTGGCTCGACAGATTAGTGGATACAAAATAAACTGAAATTAATTTTAATGACCAGCCACACCACTTGCAAACAAGCGAGTCAATTGGCTGCCAATACATTTAAGAGTATTCAAAAAATATAAGGGATCGCGACCAAATGGAACGGGCTATACTATTCTAAAAAAAAAAAAAAAAAAAAAGAAAAGTTTGTAAGTAATGTCGTAGGCATATCACGAGTTCGAAACTGTTGCTACAGTAGAAAAATCCCTGATCAAATAAAAACTCGCACACTCTCTTCTCCATCAATGTCAAGACTATTCAGAACCACACCTCGGTCCTACCGAGAAGGTATGTCTCTGTTCACTTACTTTCTCTTGAAGTGGCAGTAAACACAATCAGCAATGCTCCTCCTGATGTGTCAATGGCTTGTAGACCATCTAATGTTTTCATTTGTTAGTTCTGTTGAGACAAAGAAGCCTAGCATGAAGATACTATATTGATTTAAAATAAAATAAAATATATATATAAAGGATATCCTTCCAAAATAGGCGGATTTACCAATTGACAATTGATAAACTTGGTGAGCCTCTTCAAGTGGCATCCATGAGTCTCTCTAATCATAACCACTGATTTAGAAATGGGTTCCTTCAACAGCACTCGCAAGTCTAACAACTGATTGAAAAGTAAATGTCTGTGCGCCTTCAAAATAAGGTTTCATAGTACGTAGGGTGTTCAGATGAGCTTGACACCATAAAGATTAGAGGTATAGACAAAGATAAAGTAGTTCAAAGATGATTCTTTTACAAAAAACCCTATCCCCATTTCTGCTGATTGTGAACGAATATAACATCGCTTCAATAGAGTATGTTTTCCCGTGTTCCACCGCAAAAGCGAGCTCTAGTGATGGATTGGTGATCTATCCAAGCTTAAGAGATGAAATGCTTTGAGGGTTTTTTTTATATCGATTTACTAACTAGGACCAACGAGACCGTGAGGAATCATTGAAAACAAACTCTATAAATGCCTTGATGTACTACTAGGGACACAAATAAAGCGGCTTCTCATAACCGATCTTGGCTGCCTGTAAAACACCCTATTCATAAGCCGTGTCAGGAAATGCTTGAAGTCTTTCCCTGTGTAGCAAACAAAAAATAAAGCATCGTATCACGTGGTAAGTTCCACACTTTGAAATTTTCTCTTATGACTGGCACGAGTGTCAAATTTAAAGGTCCCTTCTTTTTTCCAAAATCAATTCCTCGAAATGGTCTCTTGAGAGTGAAAAAAAAAAAAAAAAAAAAATGTATCCATACTATATAATGTGACGGAGGGGAGAGGAAGGAGATGGAAGGCATCCATCCATGGATTTACAACATCCATCGATCACAATTATCAAACAGGATGAATTCAAGGGTCCTTTTTATAGATTGGTGATTTTCTCGACAAACATACTGGGGGCAGGAAACTATTGTTTGAGCATCATCCTTCAACGCCAGTCAACTTTTTAACTTCATCTGTAGGACTATTTATATCAAAAAGACAAAAAAAAAAATATTAATGAATGCAGATTGATTTAAGTCGAACCCAACATCAGCATGCATCAATAGGCTTTTTGAGATGTCAATCCTGAGCAACAAACGAAGCAATAAGAATGGAAAAGGGCTCTATTTTCTGAATGGTCAGGATGAACATTGAGAAACGACTTGGACGCGTGAACAAAGCTGAAACAATGAAAAGAAGCTGGAGAGGCGTTGTTTAGTAGGACAGTAGGACATGCAAAAAAAAAAAAAAAAAAAAAAAGCTGTTATTGGATGGAGGAACATCATAGGACTTTGGAGATTTCTTTTCTTATCTTTGCCTCTCCTTCTTCTCCTCTCGGAATCAGGTTTTTGATGGAGAAAGAGTCGATCGACTTACCTTAAGCGATTTGTTATACTTTGTTTATTTAGACTAAGGGAACCTCTTCGTTTGGTAAACGCCACACCAAGTCGCACACTTTGTGCCGTCGGTATGTCTTTTTTTTTTTTTTTTTAATAACTTGTATTGAAGAGAGATCGTCCACTAGAAGCTAATTTTCAATTGTGGTTGTGTCATTGACTATTTCCATTTGATAGTTGCGGACGCCGCTCTTTCCACAACCAGAAGAAGACCTGTGCTCAGTGCGGCTACCCTGCTGCCAAGCTCCGCTCCTGTAAGCCTTTTTATATTGCAAAAAAAAAAAAAAAAAGTCCATTTTTATGGATGCCAGGCACAAAAAAATACATAATAGATCAGGAGACTACACAGGGGAAAAAGACTTCTTTCTTTTTCTCAGGATTTTTCTGGCTTTGACAATTATATGTGATTCGGAAACTATGACTCTTCAGGATAAGGAACATTTCGTTCAAAACAACTACGCGGATCTTCGAGTGCCAAATGAAGAAGAATTGAAAGGAGGTTTTTTTTTTTCTTTAGCATCCAGGAGATTTTGCGCTTGCTCGAGTCTCACCAACGCCCTATCAACTTGAAGGACGATATATCTTTTTTTTTTTTTTTTTTTTTTTTTTTTTATTTAGGAGCAATTACGTTCCTATATCTGATTTATTTGATTGAGAAATGTCTGACTTTTTTTTTTTTTTTTTTTTTTTTCCTATTTTCTAAATTGACACTAATATAGACAACTGGAGTGTTAAGGGCAAGCGCAGAAAGACTACTGGAACTGGTCGTATGCGCTACTTGGCCGATGTCAGCCGCCGCTTCAAGAATGGTTTCCGCGAGGGTACCCAGGCTAAGAAGCAGGTCAAGGCTGCTGCTGCCACTGCTTAAACATGAAGAAGAAAGAAACAAAGAAAATAAAAAGGTGGAAAAAAAAAAAATAGCACAACTCAACTTTCGCATCAATGATTTCGACTGGGTAAACTTTTATACACATATTTATATTCTCTTGTCAAAAAGAAGCTAAACAGATTCTTGCGCAACTGGCGAGTGTTACAGCCTTTTAATTCATATGATTATTTATTTATTTATTATCTTTATAAACAATGTAATGAAAGAAGATGTTTGGGAATTGGAGAGGAAAAAAGCACTGATTAGATTGAATACGCATTTCTCCATTTTTTAATTTTTGGCTTGGGCCAACAGGGATTCGATCAGATCAGCTAGAGGGGCCAACTCCTTTGGATCAATGAGGTTGAATTCCTTGACAAAAAGGATAAAATGTTTGAAGCTGGTGTTCAAATGGGCCTCTTCGCCCAGGGAAACAATGGCAGCGAAATGAGTTGCATAGATGTGGGCATAGACACGGAATAACCGACGAAAAATATCTTTGACAACAGTCTTGAAATCCGTTGGGAACTCGTTTCCTAAATAGGGACCAAAAAAAAAAAAAAAAAAAAAAAAGACATTGAATTGATGTTGATGTTATTTACATAAGATTAGTGGAATTACATAATGGGAAATATGTGTTGATGTGGAATATGAATGTGAATGTGTGGGGGAAAAAAGAGAGGATTGCTTACCAAGTTTGCTCGGAAAGATGGCCTCATTGTCAAGTTGGGACTGAACCCAACTCATAAGGTGATCAACGTAAACTGGAGCACTCACACGCGCTGGTTTCTTGAAATGGACGTCATCTTTCCAATGATATTCATACTTGGATCCAGCAGACATGACTGGACAATCCAGTGGTGTACAAAACTCTGTTATGGTGCCATAGAGCATATTGATTTGGTTGAAAAAATCAACGGCTAAAAAAAAAATAATAATAATAATTTTAGGAAGGTTAGGGGTATGCTCATATTCATGTTCATATCCAGGGGGGAAAGGTCAGGAGGATAAGAATAGGTGAGAGGGGACGAACGTGAGAGAGGAGGCGGGAAGGCAAGGGAAAAGTAAGGTATTGAAGAATTGCACCGTAGACCAGAGGAATGTTGCAAGATGTATTAATAAATACATTAATACATTTACAACCTTGTGAGCTGTGATGTGTGGGGGGGATGTCTGTATATCCATTGAATGGTACAAATGGTACATACACATTTGTCCACATGCTGTTCTATCCATGCGACAACAAAACATCATCATGCATTTACTCCTTCGCCTCTGTTTTTTTTTTTTTTTTTTTTTTTTTGTAGCTTAATTTGTTTCTTTGGAGTGGGAAAGAAGAAGATATAAAAAAATGAATAATAATAAACTCACTGTTGACTGCAAGCCATTCATTCAAATCTTCGCCCTCGGGTAAATGGACTGCCAGACGTAGATTTCCAGAACCAAGGGTCTGTTCTGCATATTCCTTTTGAAGATATTGTTTTTGTAAGGTCGAGGCATGAAGAGGTTTCTTGGATGTCTTTGGTTTATTGCTGGATCTAATTATGAGTTATATGTGCATTATATGAACGACGAGGGGTTATCATATGAATAGAATCAAAGAACAGACATATAATGCATCCGATCGACAAAAAATGTAAATTAAATCGCTCCTAAATATAACATGTATAACAAGTATAACATGCCGATGCTAATGCCAATGCCAATGCCAATACCAATGTCCTGTTATGTCATGCGAGCCGCTCTCTTGTAGCGCCGTTTTTTTTTTTTTTTTTTTTTTTTCATTTCCTTTATCCTCAAAAAAAAAATTGTTGGTTGCACAAAGAGCAATGGGTAGGTGCAAAGCCGAACGGTGAGCGCTGATCAAAGGGAGACATAACGTCCTTACTCCTACTCCTGTTCCTGTTCCTGTTCCTATTCCTGTTCAGCTGATCAACTATTTATGTAAAACCCCTCATTTCCTTGTCACCTGTTCTTGTCTCAAGTTCCCTGTCTAATTGACTGTACACTTTATCTCCCCCAAAAGAATGAAAACTCATAGTGCCATCATTATGTTATTGCTATCATCCATGGTCGCCGTCATCTTCAATCATTGTCCATTATCCATGAATTGAAATCGGGTAAAGTAGAATAGAATAGAATAGAATAGAATAGGGCAAAATAAAATAAACTGAAGTAACTAGTAAAATTAAAAATAAAATAAAACGGTTGTCCCGCTATGTTCTGTCATGTTCCTACTTGCATACTTGGAATAATAAAAAAAAAAGAGGAAGCTGCAGGCTGATAAAAAAGTAAAAATAAAAATAAAAATAACCTACAAGCCTAGGAAACTCATGTCTGTTGTCGCTGTGCTATGTCGTTTTTTCTTTATGGTCGTGTCAAAGATAGATTGATATTATAATAAGTTCTGATGACGGCTATATTATATTATAGTGTGGTATCGTTTAATATCATCCAGTATGGTGTTGTATCGTCCTGAACTCTTGTTTTTCTGTGTCTGTTGTCTGTTGCCTCGTGTGTACGTTTAAAAGTGAATCAAAGTATGAAAGAAAAAAAAAAAAAAAAAAAAAAAAAGGAAATGGGAAAGGAAAGGAAAAGGTGAATGAATTCGTTGCTCCTTGCTTTACATCCCCTTTATTCCTCTCTCTCTCTGCATCGATGCTTTCTACAACTGCTGCCCTGCCCTGTGTTACGACTTCCCCCTTTTTGGGATCATGTGGGTACGAGGGTTTTGAAGGGTGCCTGAACTGGCTTAAGGGGTAAATGACATAGTGCCACGGCACACGGCATGTTTGATCCATGTGTCGGAAAGCTCACACACAACACAACACAACACATTTATACACATGTTCATGAATGAATATCGATATATATAATATATATATAAATAACATATACCATATCATATCACACGTATACATGTTATTATAAATAATATGACTTGTTAGTCAGTTAGAATAAGCAATTTATTCAATCGCGATTGCCTCATTTGGATGACAACTTGTGTCTCACCAAATTGTGTTCCTAGTGTTCTAGTGTCAGTTCTCATTCAATTCTCATTCAATTGAATACAATAAAAGACAAGCCATGATAAATATATTTAGACAGATCAAAGCCATTCATCGTTTTTCTTTTTCTTTCTTTCTTCTTGTCCTTTTTTTTTTTTTTTTTTTTTTCTTCTTCTTCTTCTTCTTTGATTATTCATTCATTCCATTTCCCAAATGCCAAATTCAAGTAGGACATTCCATTCGTTTTAAAGACCCTTCAATTTTCTTTTTATATTTTTTTACACAAGCCAAACAAAGTTGAAGGCACACAAAGCTTTTTCGATCTCCTTCTTTTATCTTTTTCATTTGTAGTTTGTAGACCACTTTCCTCCCCCTTTTTTTTTTTTTTTTTTTTTTTTTTTACTTCTTCTATCTTCTCAAATGGCTAGTATGAGCATGCCTCCACCAATGTCCTCTATCAAGCCAGAGCCTCAGGTCAAGCAAGAGTCCATTAGTCAACTATCCAGTATCTCACACTCTTCCTCCTACCAGTCGCCTTCATTCTATCATTCTTCAAGTCATCACCAGTATGGACAACAGCCACAGCAGCAACAGCACTCATACTCAAGTCTGTCCCAGCATCAATATCCAATTTCCTCGTCCTCATCCTCGGCTGGTTCCGTGGCCTCGTTCTCCAACATGTCTCCGACTAGCAACTATGGTCTTCCCAGGCACATCACAAACTTAAACATGTCATACAGTGGCTCTGCTGTTTCACCTGCCTCCAATTCATTCGGGGGTATCCATACTGGTGCTAGTAGTGCCCCTGGAAGCGGTGCAGCCACACCTGCAATGTCCAATGCCCATTTAACTACCAACGGTCTGACTAGCACGCCTTCTTCGCCCAATTTGAGTAATCTGCAATATCACCCTAGCAATACCAACAACAGCGGTGGGAACAGCAATCCGTATATGCACTCAACATACCCACAATCACCCTATCAAACCCCCCAGCAGCAACAACAGCCACACTCGTACCAGCATCAGTCTAGCCATGCTAACGATCTGAATTCAAGTGGTTACTACGGCTCTTCTTCGCCGACCTACGGTTCCCATCCACAACAACAACAGTCAGGACAGGGTCAACAACCTCACCACAACAGTGGTAGTAGTGGAAGCAGTAACGGTAGCAATAGTACGAGTGGATCTCATATCCAGTTTAATCCCTCCACAGCTCCTTCGCCGATGCGTCAACATCAACAACAGCAGTACACACCTTTGGTTCCTCCGTTGTCAGAGACTCAGTATGCTCAATACCATCAGCTTCTTGGTTCATCAGCTTTTAGCTCTGCTCAATCAACGCCCTATCACTCGAATCATTCTACGCCTTATAGCTCCATGCCCGGGTCACCGACACGCGACTACCAACCATTAAATGATACACAGGTGGTACCGAAGCCTAAGCGTCGTCAAGTCAAGAATGCATGTGGTAGGTAGAACCGATCTGTTTCTTCCCCCCTCCCCCTTCATTTTCTTCTTGCAATGTGGTTCTTTTCTGCCGTGTGCGTAAACACACGCACTGTTCTCTTGCCACGCTACGGATCGTATTGAAATGGCAGGCTGTTTTTGGTCATTAATGGAAAGGGACGAGATTTTTTTTTTTTTTTTTTTTCTTCCTGCTTGTTTGTTTGTTTGTTTATGGGCTTATTCTATGTGCATACATGTATATGAGTACATGTACATGTACATTTTTCTCCTCATTCTTTGTCGACGTAAAAAAAAAAAAAAAAAAAAAAAAAAAAAGCAAAACAGAGGCGATGAGAGAGCAACAACGTGGGTATGGGATATGACGCTGGTTTGTTTGGTATTCAGGAAAAAAAATCCCTTGAGCTGGGAAACCAATTTTTTTGTATTCTATCTCAATTGAGTCCTGAGAAGATTAAAACAAAAAAAAATTTTGTGTCTAAATTTATCAAAGAACGAAAAGAGAGAGAGAAGAGAGAGGAAAGAGAGGGACAGAAAAAGCTAAAGATCACCTCATTGCGACTCAGTTGTGGCAGAATATATTTTTTGTTTTATTTATCTGATGCAACATTGCAATTGAAACGCAGACACACTTTATTTTATCTTTTAAATGCCATGATTTGTGTGAATGGGAAGTGGAAGAACCCGGACAACACTACACTCTGTGTTAGAACAGTACAACTTGAGACTACAAGGACATTCCCCCCCAATTGATCCAGTTTCTGATAAGGGCAACTTCGGGGGAAAGTGTGTGAGAAGAAAAAAAAAAAAAGAGAACTAACATGAATCACATGTTAGTATTCTCACTTAAAGATGGGGAGGGGAAGAGATCAAAAGCAAAAAGTCATTAAACTGCAAAATTGAAAGGAGCATTACTCTCTATGGCATTGACACCAGTAGAGGCAAAGGGAAAAAGAACAATGAGCAAAAAAAGATTAAAAGAGCAAAAAGGCGTGTATGGTAACCCGACATGCGTGTGTGAATCTGATAGTTTCATCAGTGCACATCCCATCACTCGAGCTCAAATTTCCAACGGGCATTTTTTTTATTTTCCCAACATTAAATGGGATGTCCCATCTCGTCATTCAAAGACTCTTGTGCTAATCGACTGGTCTTTTTTTTTTTTTTTTTTTATTTATTTTAAAAATATGAAAAATAGTCAATTGCCAAAAGGCCTGCAAAAAGTGCGACGAAGGACGGCCCTGTGCTCGATGCATCAAGTACGGTCTCACAGAGACTTGCGTAGATTCGACTCGCAAAGTCCGCAAAAAGGGTATCAAACGTGGTCCTTATAAGCGCAGACCTCCACCCACACAGATTGGATCGGCAACGGCCTCAACCACACCAACAACGCCCACTATGAGGAACGCAATGCCTTCGGGAATCCCAGGATATATGTCTGAGCCTGTGACAGCGCTCAACAGTCCCACACAATCACACATGTTGCCAATTACAAGTACAGCAGGATCCACTACCATGGGTCACACCATCTCTGCACCTCTTGACTTTGGTTATGACAACAGTGGAGGACCAGGTGGGTATTCGTTCCATTCTCCTCAACGGATGGAAACCACTAGCTACGCACCATCATCGTACGCAACCAATTACTCTGGGTCTAACCTTTATGAATCACCTTATGGGATCAACAGCAATGCTGCAAACAATCTGTCGTGAACCACACAAAAAAGACTCATAAAGCGATGCATGATCTAAATCAAGAGCCAAAGTATTCATTATTTTTTTCTTTTTAATCCTTTCCCTTTCCCTTTTGCTTTTTTGCTTTTGCATTACAATCACATTAACACACATTGGAGACTTTCTTACTACCATTTTGCATGATAATAATAAAAAAAATAAAAAATAAAAAAAATAAAAATAAAGAAACTCTGATATAATACAAATATTATTGTTGTCGAAATCAATACAAGCTCATAGTAAGGATGCTTGAAGATTCAAACTAGAGAGAAAAAATGTCTCGCATGTCTTCCTTTACACTTCATGATTAGTATCAAATTAGTATGGGAAATATACACGGAACAACTTACTGCCTGTCCAAGATGATTGGATGGTGGGACTGGCCCCTTTCTTTAAAAAAAAAAAAAAAAAAAAAAAGAAAAGTGGTTGCTGTGCTCTTTCTTTTTTTTTTTTTAGCTTTCATAAATGAATTCAGGCCAAATACCAGGTAGGCAGATGGGCGATTGTGACTCTTTCAGTTTCTCTTTTGACCCGGGTGCGTGGTTCCTCTCTCTGCTTACGAAACTATACCTCTAATAATGATAATGATGATAATGATAATGATGATAATGATAATGATGATATATATGTATGTATATATTTATCCCTTCCTCATAGCTCTATACAACTATATATATATATTTATATATCAGGAATACCATGGTTGCAGAGGTTCTTGTAGAAACTCCTTACTCACAAACAAGTATATGCAAGAGAATAACCTCCAATTAGGCTTGTGGCTTTTTTACTGCTCAAGAGTAGACAATGCTCCCTACTTCCCCTCAGTAACCATCAAAGTATACTTCGCAGGTAGTTACTGTTTTTATTTTTTTATTTTTTTTATTTGAACGGTTCGATATCTTAATTGGAACGAATGTAGTGGAACAAGGACACGTCAACTTTCGGTTCGGTGATGACTAAGAGACCTTCATGTGTAAATGTAATAAAAGCCATGTGCTTTAATACTTTCCATATTTGATAAAGGGTTTTTGTGAGATAGAGTGGCTGAAAAGACAACTGGGCCTGGTCAAAGCCATTCTTCTCACTCTTTCGCGAGAAAGTTTTCCCCTCTCCGTCAAACTCATTCCCCTTCAACAATCAGTTTTTTTTTTTTTTTTTTTTTTTTTTTAAATATATTTATCTAATATTTATAAAGTATATCATGGAAAAGACAATTGACATCACCATTTTTGGAGCCACCGGGTTCACTGGCAAATTTATTTTGTTGGAGGTGTTGAAGACGGCTGCTCGCGCGTCTACAGGTCAAAAGCCATTGCGCGTTGCAGTTGCGGGCAGATCAAGAGAAAAACTCGAGAAACTTGTCGCATCTTTGCCATCCACCACAACTGAGAATCCGTTAAGGATCATACCTACCATTATAGTGGCCAGTGTTGAAGATGAAGAAAGTATGAGAGCCATGTGTCGTCCATCCAAGACATTGGTTGCTGCAGGTAAAAAAAAAAAAAAAAAAAAAAAAAAAAAAAAAAGGAAAAAAAAAATTGATGTTTAGCAATGGTTGTTCTTTGGATGGGTACTGTTCTTCTGCTATAACGTTGCTTATCAACTTTTCCTCATTTTATACATATAGCGGGACCTTACCGTTTCTTGGGCGAGGCTGCAGTAGTAGCCTGTATTGAAGAAAAGTGCCATTATGTGGACATTACGGGCGAACCCGAGTTCTTTGAAAGGATGATACATCAGTACTATGAAAAGGCAAAGGCCAACGGAGTCTCGATTGTTCATGTCTGTGGATTTGATTCGATCCCTGCAGACATGGGTGTTCTCTATACGAAACAACAGCTTGAAAAGGTTCATAATGCGTTGCCTTCATCCATTGAAATGTTCTTCAAGGTCCATGTTGCTGGTAATGCAGGATTCGGAGCGCATTATGCTACATATGAATCAGTAAGTAACAAAGAGAAAAAAAAAAAAGAAAAAGAAAAAGAAAAAGAAAAGAAAACATGGAAGAAGGGACCGTGGGGAAGCAAGTGTTCATTTATATATTGAACATGTCTTTTTTTTTTTTTTTTTTTTTTTTTTTTTTTTAAAAAAAAAAAAATAGGCCATCCATGGATTTGGAAACGCTGATCAACTTCGCCGCTTACGTCGGACTGCAAACCGTCCTCAGATCCCCAAGGTGGGACCAACCCTGGCAGTGAATTCGAAGCCTCATTGGGTCCATAAAGTAGCAGCCTACACAATACCCTTCTTTTTCGCAGATCCATCTGTGGTTCGATTATCACAACAATTAGTCCTTCAGGATAAAGATTTGAAATCAGTCCAAAGTCCACCTGTCCAATTCGCAGCCTACATCTGTATTCCAACCTTCAAGGCTTTAGCAATAACCATCTTTGCGTCAACTGTGTTTGGATTGTTGGCTCCGTATGAGTTTGGACGTAAAATATTGATGAAATACCCTCGATTGTTCACCATGGGAGTATTCAGCCATGAGGGCCCATCGACTCAACAGTTGGCAGAGACATCATTCTCTGAAACATTTTTTGCTCAAGGATTCTCCAAGGAGTTGAGAGACAAGTATCCCAAAACTCCAGAGGCACTTCGACAAGTTGAGCCTGACGTGTCGATCATCACCAACGTCAGTGGACCTGAGCCAGGTTAGGTGGTTTTTTTTTTTTTTTTTTTTTTTTTTTTTCTCGATATACTCTGGAGAAATGCTTAAGCCTTATTTTATTTTCAATATTTTTATTAGGTTATATTGCAACACCCAAGATGGCTGTCCAGGCATGCTACACGATCTTACTGGAAAAAGATTTGATTCCAAATGGTGTATTGACCCCTGCAGTCGCATTTGCAAAGACAAAGTTGATTGATCGTTTGCAGGAGCAAGGAATTATGTTTTCGACTGTGCAAAACATTGTTGTTTAAATTCGTAAAGTCTTTTTGATCTTTAATATACAGTAAAAATAATAAACCGTTTTTTTTTTTCTTTTGTATGGGCATTGTTACTGTTGAGATGATGATGGATTGAGGTTTTTAGAAAGGGTCTTTGTAGTAGGCTCTTTGGGGATAAATTGCATTTACGTGACATGGCAACTTTTTCAAAAGTTTAGAAGATGGAGCGGCGCATTGCTTCGCCCAGTTTGTCACAGACACAAACAAATTGGAGGCGGCTTTTCTTTTTTTTTTTTTTTTTTCTTTTCGATCCAGTATGGTCATCTCTCTGCAATAGTAGCAATGATAGATGCTGTTAATGGTACTCATTCTATCCACATAATGATCAACATCAATGAAAAAAGGATGCCAAACTTTACATTCTTATTTACTTTTTTTTTACATTCCAATCCCCCTCATGGCTTTATTTATTATTCCCGCTGGACATGCAAACTATTTTCGTTAGTCCTTTTTTGTATACAAAGTAACCATGTTTACTTGATCCAACCAAGACTCACCATCCACGCAAGGATACACAAGAGAGAAAAAAAATATAAAAGAATTGCACACACACAGACAGAGAAGTGTAGATAGACTCTTGTGGCAAGCAAGTCTGGTAAGACAAGATGGAGTGCTTGCTTGTCTAAGTTGATTTAGGGCTGGGTAGTGGAAAGAAAGGAAAGGGCTGAAAAGAGACTTTAGACATTTGGGCTCTCTTTTTTTTTTTTCTTTTTGCACACCTTTCCACCTTCCAGCCTCCACCAAAAACCGATACATTTTTCTGTTGCTAAGCAACATCGGCTCTTGAAATTACATCTGTCATCGCCACAGGTCATCAAGACTCCTCACATTCATTCATTTCATTTCATTCTTTTCCGTTTTTTTTTTTTTTTTTTTTTTTTTTTTTTTTTTTTTTCTTCTTCACATTACACTTTCCCTCCATTAAAAACGCTATTGTTCTAGGAACTTGGAGCGCCTTTTTTGTTATTATTATATGTATTTATTTGTCACAACTGAACAACCAAACAGGACAAAACGGACAAAGGAAACAAAAAGGAGCATAAATGACGGTGTCGACACTCCTTCCAGTGAACAGATTTTCAGAGACAAAGTTCTCGGAATCATTCTGGTCCAACTCTCGAGGCGACTATGTCACTGGGCTGAATGTACTTCATGCCAAGATTGACCAGGGTGCTGTTGAAGACCAGGAAATCCTGAGCTATCTTCGAGAACGTATTGAGGTTGAGCAGCGTTATGGAAACTCACTTATTGAGATGGGGAACCGAAGACTGAAGGTAAACAGCAACAACAATTATAGTATCAAAACAATATGAGTTTGGTCGGATGGCATTGCATAATGGCATAACATAGCATAGCATGGGATAGTATAGCATAACTACAGGATCAAATGAGATAGGATGGAGATATGGATAGGGATGGATGGACAGGGCATTGAGTATTGCAATAAGTACTGTTTGGAGCAATCATTTGCGTTCGGATGGTTCACATTGATCCCAAATATCACTCACAACGGAACAATTCACAATCAGAGAAAAGTGGCTACAAAACAAAGAATCATGCACTATTGCTTCAATTCAACATTTTTTTTTTTTTTTTTTTTTTTTTTAAAAAAAAAGGGGGGGTACAGACAAGATCAAGGTCAAATTGGACATGTGCAAAAAAAAAAAAAAAAAAAACCAAAAATCCAAAGGATCATGTTTCCTTTAGGATCAGTCTGACCTCGCTATCCTCCTTTATACCAGCCCTGCCTCTAGTGTATTTTTATTTTTTTTTTATTCTCCCTTACAATGTATGAGGGTCTCCGCGTTTTTTTTTTCTTTTATTTCACATGATCAGACAGAGATTAATAGTGGACTCTATTGAATCACCTTCTCTTGAATAGCTCGACGGATTCTTGCGTGACGATGGCGCATCGCTGCGCAAAACGTTTGAGACTATCAAGGCAGAGAGTGTCGAACTTGGAAATGGTCACTTGACCTTGGCAGCCAATCTGCGTGAGCTTGTTCTTCAACCCCTTGTCAAGTTTAGCACACATGCCCGCCAAACGACACAACATAGCCGTGAGGATATTGAATCCCGTCTAAAGTTGTTTGATAAACACCTCATGGAGCTGGATCGGACACACGCATCCTATGTATCCAAATGCAATGCTGCCGACCAAGCCGATCTGGAAGCCAACAAGATTGCACAGGAGGAAGCTCGAGCAGCCGGAGTTGGGGTCACGGATATGGACCGTCGCCATGAGTTTGCATCACAGCGCTTCACGATTCAGGAACTGAACAAATTCTTGAACCGGATGAGGGCTGAAGTGCCCTCACAAGATGTCAAGGTCCCCATCATTGGTGTGTACAATAACTGTTGTGCTGGATCCAATATTGCGCATTGGATTCAACAAAATACAAAGGCAAGAACAGTGGAAGAGGCTGAACATATCGGACAGTCATTGTCAGACGAAGGATTCTTGAGATTGATCGGACAGCGTGGCAATAAGTTTGTAGCCACACCTGCACACTTTTATCAATGGCGTGACCAGATGTTTGAGCTGCTGGATGAAGATGATAAGGAAGAAGAACTTTCTTTGGTCAAAAAGACTAAGCTGGAGGCTGAGAAGGCTGATGCTGCTTATTTGGCTGCTGTCAAGAAGGCAGACAATACTCGTTTACAACTCGAAGTTGGTCTTGTATGTTTTTTTTTTTTTTTTTTTTTTTTTTTAATCGACAGGTGAAAATGAATCGTGGACTTGACAGAATCATACGCTTTTTTTCTGCTTTTTCTTAGTTCTCTCATATGGATCTGCTTCAACGTTTTGAATACGATCGTATTAACACCTTTAAGAATGGTAAATATGAATTGAGTCTTGCTATCTTTTCAAAAAAAAAAAAAAAAAAAAAAAAAAAAAAGACTTGAGCATGAGAGCCAAACCGGAATGTTTATTTATAAATATCCGTATTAATACGTCACCACCATTATTTCAATATGTAGCTTTTTTGAACTTTGCGGCGATATTCTCCAACATCATCAGTATCACTCAGTCAGTTGCGGATCATTTGCTAATCTTCCAGGAAGCTTTGCGCCCTGCAAATGATGTTCAATATGTGATTGAGCAATACCGCACAGGTGCTTTTGTCCCCATGCCAACGCTTTATAATAACTTTTATCATGGATCAGGTCTAGGTAAAAAAAAAAAAAAAAAAAAAAAAAAGTCTAAAGGTATCCATTGCGTTATACAAGATTATATGACTAATGGTCTTTTTTTTTTTTTTTTTTTTTTTTCCTTTCTTTCATTTTAGATCAAGTTTTTGGTGTTAATATTGATAAGCATTGTAATTTCACTCGCAAGAAGGTTCCTCAATTAGTGATGAAGTGTTTGACTAGGATCAAGAAGAGCTCTGCTGCTCTTAGTAACGAACGTATGTCATTTAAATATCTTCTTATATATATATATATATATTGGTCATGTAGGCTTATTAGCATGATGTTCTAATACCGTAGCAAGTGAAAAAGACTAATGTATCTATTTTTTTATGCTTGTAGAAAAATTGGCGTGCTGGACAGCTGAGGTGCCTTTGGCCGACATTCATGTTCTTCGAAACAAGATTAATCATGGTCAGTCTTTTATTATTGCTATTGCTATTCAAACCGTAAATCTGGATACTGTCTTCAAAAAGCCAAAAGTAAAAGCATTTCATGACTCAACCGCCACTTTCTTTTTTTTTTTTTTTTTTTTTTTTTTTTGTATTAGGCGGCAAGATCACTCAGAAATTGCTTCGCTTGTTTGATGTGGCAACAGTGGTTGGTGTCTTACGCCTCTATTTCTTGGAGCTCCCTGGATCCGTGGTGAATGGCGAAGAATATGATACTGTGAAGATTATTTATTCAAGCGGTAAGGGTGGGAATCTATTGTTCAGCTCTTGGAACAAGGAAAAAAAAAGAAAAAGAAAAGAGGACCTTTGTCGAAAGTAATTTAAAAGACTAAAGCGTGTTATTATTATTGTTATAGTATCGGATGACACGAGTGATAGTAAAAACGATGCACGGATCTCGTCGCTTCGCAATTTGCTTGCTCTCCTTTCCTCTGCCCGATTCTATACCCTTTATGAAGTCGTCAAGCATATCAGCAGGTACTTTTTTTTTTTTTTTTTTTTTTTTCCTTCCTTTTCGTATTGTCGTGGCTTAATGTTGCTAAAGACTCGATTTTCCATAACTAATACAAATGTTTATTTTGTATAGTTTGATTAAAGAAACTTCCGCAGATGAATCATTCACTTCATTTGTTGCTCACCGCTGGGGACCTGTCTTCTTGCGACCTCTGGAAGAAACGGCTGTGACACTTCATGATAAGCATCCTCAGAGGATGATGCGCGATATGCTCAAAATGACTCATCAGATCTTTGAACCGATCAGGATGAGTCGTGAGGAAGGAAATCTGTCTCGTTCTGTCACCACTCGAGCTCCTGCCACGGCCTTGAACCGTCGCAAGGCCGGTATGAGAGCGAGTAGGGATCTTAAGGGAGCTTCCGCATTGGTCAATGGAAACGGTCATGTGGACTTGGCTTCAACAGTGCCTTCAATTGCTGTGGATGGTGAAGCTATTACAGGCCAGGCTGCTGCGACTACTGCGACTGCTGCTACTGTTCAGGATGGTGGATCAGGTGTTGGTACTGGTTCGACAGCTGCACCTTCAGGGGCTAAACTTCAAAGACGACTAGGTCCTTCAGGAGCCGGACGCTTTAGCTTGACGAGGGGTGTGAGTGCTCCTGAGATGTTTAGTGAAGTTCCATCATTTAAGAAGAAGCCTGCTGTGGATGGCACAAGCGGAGTAGAGGGTGATGCTAGCACTGCTAATGGGATACCTGGGTTGTTGAATACAACAGGTCTCCAACATGCTGCAGGAGGTGATAAGAACAGTCGATCACCTCTAAGGCAAAGCGTCAGCGCGCCAAACACAAACGAGAGTATTGTAGAGGTGGAAGAAGAGGAAGACAAGGAGGATGGTGTCTCCAAGAGTATCCCTGCTAATGCTACCGATGATGTGCCGTATAATAATATCGAAGCCACAACAGAAACTACAACCGTGACTGCACCTGTAACTGGAGGTGAAGGAGAAGGAGAGCAGAGTACTCTCACTGTACTGGAATCAATCAAGGATGATAATATTGAGGTGTCTCCTACGGATACGGAGGCAACCAAGGTTGAAGATGCACCAGACTGGAAAGCGGTATCTGGCGCAGAATTCGAGTCCACAGGACGTAAATTAGAACGTCGTCGTAAGAACCGTCAGAGTACACTTTCTAATGCTGATCAGAGAAGCTCCTTAGTTGTTGGAGAATTATCGGCAGAGAGTGTATTGCAGGCATTGCAGGAGGAGGACAAGTAAAAAGAAAAAAAAAAAAAAAAAAAAAAAAAAAAAAACATCGGAAGGAGAGTTGGACTAGGCTAGGATTTAGTTAAGATATGGGTGGAGTTGCAATAGCATCAATTGTACATGAAAACTTTTTGTTTGATACCAGAGTAAAATGAATCCATCTTACGAGATATGAATGTAAAAATGATTCACTCTGTCCTGACGTCGGTCATGGGTGGCCAAAAGGCGATTTGCGGCAATACTTTTTCTTTTCTTTTCCTTTCTTTTTTTTTTTTTTTTGTTCAAAATGAGAGCAAATGGTTCATCAGTTCGTCTGCTTTACACGTCTACTAGAAAACATCCTTTACTTTGTTGGGTAGGAGAATGTCGATAATTGACTCATTGAAGTGTTGCCCGAACACGTTAGGAACTAAAATAAAAAAAGTTGGTCGCGTGAGCGAAGTGTGTAACTAACATTTGCAGAACATGTATTGTATTTAATATATATATAATATTATATATAATCACTATAAATATACACACAGAAATGAATCTTATTCTTTGTATTTGTCCATACCCTGGCACAACATTGCCAATACGGATACAGACAAAGCATATTAAAGTCGATTAATAAATGAAAGAAGGGCATAATCATCAGAGTTCAATTTAATAGTTCCAGGCCTTTTCTCTCTCTCTCTCTCTCCCCATCTCCCCATCTCTCTATCAGCTCAAGCAATAGTCATCTTGAGAGTGTGTGAGCGAGGGATTTTTTTTCAATCTCGGCCAAAGAATATATTCATTTAGAGTTGAGCGCCCAAAGTTTCTTTGGACCTTGCACAGACTTTGGGAGAATCATATTCCCTTTCAACACTCCTCTTATTCACAAATAATAGACATGTATGCATGCTCATTTTTTTTTCCTCCTCCATTGTAAAGAATAGGCCCTTGATATTTACATTTGCCGATTCGAGAGATTTGGTTCTCTTGGCTCAGCAACCTTCTTTTTTTTTTTTTTTTTTTTTTTTTTTAAAGAAAAACATATTGAGGTTCTTTTCAATTGTTCCAGCGCCTAGCGAGCCCTATCGCCTCTGTAGCCTAGTCTAGCCTTTGATAGTGTCTATTGTGACTAAAATAGTATCCACTTTTTTTTTTTTTTTTTTTTTTTACCGCTATGATGCATACAACCAACATTTATGGATGCTCATTGTTTAGCCCTTCTTTCTCCTCTATCTTGTCCTCCTCTTCCTATTACCTCTTTTTTCTGAAGTAAGGACCTCATAGGAGGCCAATATTCCAGACCTGTTCAAACATTCCAAACGAAGGTATTGCCATTAGAGGCGGCTCTCTCAAAGATGGTAAAGCCTCTACCATCCTCCTCTCCCTGTTCTTGTCGTTGTCTTCCTTCTCATGATTTTAGATTCAATGAGAGTAAAAGAGAGCAGAGAGAAAAGGAGATTGAGAGAAGGGTCAGAAAATATTTGTATCTGAAAATTTATTAAATCGTGGGTCAGAAGAGAACGGACAGACAACATTAATGCGGGGTGATCGTTAATCGAGATCCAACGGAGTGCGGACACTTAAATCTTTATCACAATTGAAACATCGACCAACTCTCTTTTTAAATTAATTACTATTATATAAATTATATATATTTATAATATTTGTATTATATATAATTTTAAGTAGAGTAGAATAAATAAAAAAGTAAATGCTAAATAATAAAAATACAAGTGAAGACTGCTCTAGTCAAGGTCAATAGATTGGTATCATATGGGAAGCATAAGGGACAACATTGATTTCCTATGCATTGGCTCCGTCGAATTCCCAGAGCCTTTTTTTTTTTTTTTCTTTTTTTTCTTCTTCTTGTCGTTAAACACCAGTAACCGACTGTGAGGATGGCGATATTGGCAAAGAAGAGGAGGGTTGAGGTCCCTGTGATGCTGCTGTTGCGGCTGCGGCTGCGTGTGCTGCGTGTGCCGCCACGAGGGCTGCGGCGGCTTTCTTTGCCTCCTTGAGCTGCGTTGCTGCGACACTAGGCTTTTGGCCAACGACGAGCCAGACCTTGTAGTAAGATTGATTTTCTTCACATTCTTTATCTGCAATAGCCAAAGTGGCATCACAGGCCTCTTGGTTCATCTTGCCTACTTCACCCTTGAGCCAGATGGTCGCCAGTCCATGCATGTTCTCGCGACTGAGGGCACCAACCTTTCCCCCCCAGTCTCCAACAGGCAATGCGATGTTAAATGAGTTGACATTGGTATATCCTCCTTGCTTCAGACCCGCTTTCATGTTCTGAACTTCATGCGGATCGACACCGTGACGGAGAGAAGTCTCGAGCGAGAGTTGATTGATCTTTTCCATCTCTGGTCCGGCATTATAGACAATACCATCTGATTCCACAAGCTGCAGATGTCCTTCTGGTTTCAATACACGCAATAACTATTACAAAAAGGGATTTACACAAACAAACAAAAAGAAAACGTTTTAGTACTACCGAACTATTACATGTGGAGCATGATTTTTCATGTGCTGACGCGCGTCTCGATAGTACAAAATAAATATGTAATAATGTAACATTTGTGTCTGTGTGTGAATAGGGAAATGATATTCTTTCCTCTGCATGACATGCAGATGGGCGTTAAAATGGTTGTTGAGCAAAAAATGAATATGCAAGACCCTGGGGAGGGTTCTTTGTCTCTATGATGGAAAAAGGTTTCCGACCATACGAGGCGAAATGTACAATCCTTTTTTTTTTTTTTTTTTTTTTTTTTTGTTTTTTTACCTCGGCATTAACTTGTTTACGTTGAGCAGGCGTCAAGGCATAGACGAGTAGGCGTTGATAAATGAAATCAAAGTAATTGTCGGGGAATGGAAGACCATCCAAAATATTACAGAGCTGGAAATGACAGTTGCTGGGCTTGATTTCCGTTGGAAAGATAGGCGAGATATCTACACCATGTATCTCGGCCTTCGGGAATTCATGAGCCATTTCTAATGCCCAGACTCCGGTGCCTGTTGCCACGTCCAAGATCTTCACAGGAGCATCGGGATCGATCTTGACATTATAGTTTCCTTTGAGAATGAAACGAACAAGGTAATGTTGAGCATCTAGGCGATCTGACTCTGTCAAATCGTTTGGAAGCATATAGGGTGCGGTGTCAACAGTATGTCGAGTACGGCCATCATCACATTTTCGGCTATGATATGCCCACTCTGGCAAGGCTCCACCAATAGTTGAACTGGTACTTGAGTTCGTGGTAGAGTTGTCCCCATGATGGCCAATAACATTGGATGAGAACTGTTTCTTCAACTGAGAAGAGATTTTTGACTTTTGGTTACTGATGCTATTGGAACCGCCGGACTGAAGCGAATTATCAGAGTGGCCATCTGAGGTGTCGATAGTATAATGATGGTTAGGAACGACTTGATTGCTTTTTTTGACGGAATGACTAGTGTTGCCACTGGTGTTGCTGTTGCTGGAAGCACTGTCTGTGAATGAAAGGGAGGATTTGGAGCGTTTGCGGAACTGAAAGGAGGGCTTTGATCGTTGGAAAAGAGACTTCTTTGTGTCTGATCCAAAAGGTATATCAAGAGAACCCGGATTGGGCTTTTTGGAGGAGGACAAAGTTGAGTTGGAGTTCCCCATGGTGAAGGAAAAATATGGAGAGGGTTGGAGGAGGGAGAAGAGGGAAAAGCAAAGAGAAAGGGAGATAAATGCGAATTGGATGAAAATCGAACTAAAATAGATCAAGCGTTGGTAACACGCGAATGAGTGAACGGAGTGATGATGAGGACTATTGCTTGTAGATCGTTATAGGACTATTGAAGGAAGAAGAAGAATAAAGCGCAATGGGCAAGCAAAGGACAAAGAAGAGGGGAAGAAAGAAGAAGGAAAAGGAAAAGAAAGAGAAATAGAAATAGAGAGAGAATATGGACAATGCAAATAAATTAGAGTTGAAACCTCTGAAGTAAAATAATGTAAGAATATCCATTCAGGGAAATGAGTATGAAAATTTATACAAACTTGAAATGTCCACAAAATTATAATTATAAATATAAATGTTAAAAGAGAAACATTGAAGAGATCCCTCTTTTTCACCTGCCCATTGCGGAGTGCTCCTTTTTTTCGATCTTTGCCTCTGTTTCTGTCTTGCTCTCTTTGCTGATTCTCCGTCACTCACGATCGAAACCGTTCCCTTGGTTTATTAAGCCAAAAGACCGTTAAGGAAAAAACCTTTTTTTTTGTTTTTGTTTTTTGTTAAGGCAAAAAGCACCAATCTCCTCGTTCTCCACACACAGAAACAAAGGAGAAAAACACGCGTAGTAGATTGTTTATTTACTTCCTTGTATTGCTTATGTTTGGTTTCTTGGTAACAACATGCATAATATTATAATACGAAACTGTCTGTCGTTCCTGCTCCTTTTTATTAAGATTCTCTTTTGTTTGTTTGTCTTTTCTGAAAGGACCATTCACATTCAATATTCTCTATTTGTTTGGAAAAGTGATAATTATATAAATATATACACATATATATATACATGTTTATAATAAAATACTTTGGAGGATGCTCTATTCCATGCGCCGACATATTCGTACATGCATTGACTAATCTACTGGATATATGGACTCACCTATAGACATCCATCTCTTTTTCTCCATGAGTACGGAACTTTAGACATGAAGATGCTAGAACCCCCTCAAGAATTGGAGAAGATAACGTGACATTTGAGCAGATGCAGGGCATAAACAAGTACAGTACAAATATACATATAAACATACATTGATATTCAGTAGACATGAATACATCTTTGCCCTTGCTCACCGGATACCTTGCTCTTGTATCTTTTTCTTATTTAGAGTCCCACAATCTGACCAACAAATGGAAAAAAAAAAAAAGAAAGAAAAAGTACTACCAGGGAGATACTCCCGCAATCATCTTTTTTCCATTATTGAAGATCATTACCTACGCCCTTTACAATAGCTTGATCATAGAATAGGGGTTCCCATCTCTCTTTCCTTTTTTTTATCTTTTTTTGCGTAATTCAATCTCATCATCTCCGTCCTATCTGCTTTCCTCCCTTCACTCCAAATGTAAATCCGAAGCCTTAGTAAAAAAAAAAAAAAGGCGCATTGGCAAAAAAAATATGTAAGATGATGTAGAATGCATGGTGTAGTAGATAGTCCCGAAGCAATGGACGTTGTGATAAGATATCACTTCACCTTGCTTTACTAGACTAAGACAACTTTGGACTAGACTAAGAGTAGTCTCATTTTCATTTGAGCTTAAACAAGAATGGGAAAAAAAAAAAGGGAGCGATGATAATGATGATGTTGTGGATGAACCATGCACAAGTAGCCTACGAGTTCTTTCACAGGTATATACTCTCCCGCCTAAAAAGTAAATGTCCTAGTTTCATAATATGCACTCTGTTGAACAATTTCACTATACGGCGTAAAATTAAAGAATCTTGGTCACCTTGGAGTGAGGGCCAAAAAACCAATTCCTTCCATCTCCGATTCAAGTATTTAATTGTTGACGTTTTAACTGCTTTCCAGTTGGAGTGACTGACATAAGCAGACTTTTAATACAAAGGTTGTCTGTGCGACAAACAAGGCTCACTTTAATGAATGTTTTCTTTCCATTTTCTGCTATGCTAGTGCCATATTAGTGCTCAAAAAATCATTAAAGACTTTGGTGGTTGACACACACTACACACACTTGCATTTGGTATTGTGGACAGATCGGATCCTTAATCTAGAGTCCTTCCCTTTTTACATTATATCACATCGCGTCAATTTTTTTTTTTTTTTTTTTTTTTTTTTTTTTGGAGCAACTGGACTGAGGTCTTGATGTGGATGGTGTTGATTAGCCTATCTCGATGGCTTAAAATAACATTCGTCCCCTAAACGAGCTTACGGATGCTGATCTTGGTACATGTCTGTTCTGTACAGTGCATTCTTTTTTATAACACTGGTCATTGGCTGTTCTCATCGAACTGCAACAACAATTTCATGTTGACGCCCCAAAGGCCATAGAAACCCTTTCTTTGTACCATTGCGTACCATCAGTTCCAGTCTCTCCATCTCTTCTGGGGTCTGCACTTGAGATATTTTGGCGATGGCAGGCGGCAGTTTTCAAGAACTTACTGACCTTACCAATGACTACGGATTGAATTATAGCACCACATCAAGAAAAAAAGAAAAAAAACAAAAAAAAAAAAAAAAAAAAAAGTTAAAGGAAAAGGCAATAAGAGAAGAACGTCAGGTCTCTTTCTACGGACCTCACGAAGCGAGGGACTTTCATCTAATCAGATATCCTAGTGAAAACACTGGAAGATAGAGAGAGTGAAAGAAACATTAGGGAATGTACGAAAAAAAAATCATTCAAAAAGAAAGACTGGCCCGTGCACTCCATTGCAATCAAAATATGGACAATTATAATACATTTTGATTGATCAAGCTTGTGCTGGATAATAAAGTGTCTTCAAGTCCTCAGACTCGTTCTCTTGAATTACAACGACATTTAATATTTGCATATAAGGATATGTAGTTTGACGAGATCTCCTTTTTACTACCCATCAAACATGCTCCGTAGCATGTCCTTTCTTTCTTCTCTTTCTCCTTCCCTTTCAATTCTCTGTTTCTGTCATCATTACCCTCTAATTGCTGTTTTTTCTTCGGAAGAGAATCTTTGTTGGTGACAGGAGTGGTTTTGACCCGTCTCTTATTTCAGAGCACATTTCCTCCTCATTAAGTAGACACACCAGACTCCCTTGAAAACGTAACATCAAAGCTTCGTCTTCATCAACACGGTCGAATGGAAGAGAGAGAGAAAGAGATTTATCTTTATATTAACGTTTATGATCCAAAAGCACAAGTATATTGTCGCAATGCCTCTGTTATTCTCGTCGGAAAGGGGCGATAGATTTGAAGCTGCCAACACTGGAGATGTTCTCGTACCGAGAAGCGGTCCTCAAGGCGCTACATCCTGAATCATCTACCAGATTATCCTGTCCTGGGAAGAATGTCATGTCATCACAGACACCAACGACCCTTAAAATATTCTGCCATTCTGCATGACATGTCACGGTCAGGTATCAAAATCATCTTTCTTCTGTCTTAAGGCGTTGTCATTAGTTCTTAAGACCCTCTTTATTTTCCAAAGATTGACTCCCGATCATCATTCCTTGTGATTATGATTTCAATCTCTTTGTCTCATGGTGTTTTTTTTTTTTTTTTTTTTTTTTTTTCTTCTTCTTCTTCTTCTGATAAGAATACGTTTCCTGCTGATGATTCGAAGCTTTCATGGACTTGAAATTGTCTACGCAAACATTGAATTGACATTATAAAGTCAGTCGGCTCCATGCAATCCTCATCTAAAACATTGAATCAACTTCTTAGTGCCTGTTGGCTCGTCCAAGCAGGCTTGAGCTCAAACCAGAATCTATTACTCCTGCATTCAGGTATTTCATTATAACTCATTCTTGTACATCGTCTCCACTCTACCTTCTGTCTTCTCCTGAATCCCTGCAGACTCGCGCTCTCCTGCTTTATCGCCTTGAAATCAATTGTTTCCTGCTCCATCTCCATCGCTAGAAAGGCTATGCTCCAAGGACACTAAGGGTTGGCACATCGACACATGTTGACGAGATGGTAATCTAAAAACCTTAGAGAGAAATGGACGAAAAAAGAGAGGGAAACACTTTAAAAACTCCTGTGCGTACACTTCCAGTGAGCATTCATGTGCAGACTTAACAGACATACTCAAGCTTCCGAATTGAGAGAATGACGCGTGGAACAGCAAGCCCATCCTCAGCCCAAAGAGATGGTGATAGAAAAAAAAAATCACTTACTAATTGCCTGTAATTAACACCTTTCGGCCTCCTTCCTCAATTACAAGATAGTTAAAAGCACCATCGCGACAGTTGTGTCTACAATTATAATCTGGCTGCATAAAAAAAAAAAGCATTGACAAGACAATAAGTTGGTTCATAAAACATAAACCTGATTATCAGTAAGGTTGCATACTGTTCAGCCCAGATAATGATGACTTTGTAAGCCATGTTCGCTGCATTATAAGGAGCTGAAGATCTAAGCATCTGAAAAAGTGTAGAGCGACATTTGTGTTGCGTGTGGGAAGATAAAAGAAAAAAGAAAATCAAACCTGATATTGCCTTGATACAGTGATATTTCAGGCAACTGATTTACCAACTGACTTCACCATTGAAGGACAAGCGTTGTCTCAAGTAGTAATGACAAACACTTTCTAGAGGTGGCAACAAAAAGAAGACAGTGGTTTTGTTCCTAATTCAGTCTCTCCCTATTGCCACGAGATCTTTAGATCAAAGTCCATCTTCACAAATTCTATTGGCTTTTATTTAGTGGCGGCGTCATGCCTCCACGATGACCTCTCAACGCTTCTAATCGACTTTGACCCTCATTTGTCTCTTCTCTAGCCCAGACTTTCACAACAAGTTAAACTCCTGTCGCAAACCACTGTTTGCTTCACTTTCAACAGATAATCTTGCCTTCCTGCAGCCTTATGTAACCTACCTCAAGGATTCCTAGACCCCAGCTTAACTCAGAACAAACCCATCCAGAACAAAGGCTGCTGCCATCCTGAAGTCTCACTGACTCCTGCGAGCGAGCCCCTTTGTCTTTTGTACCAACCTATTGCAACAGACCTCTTCGAATTTGGTCTCGAAGCAATCCTGCGTTGCGTCTGCATCACCTTGAGAGATTAAGACGGATTCAGATATAATGAAATAAAAACAGTTTTCTCTGCTCTGACTTTCCTATACTTTACCTTGCTCAAAGCCACCCTGTTCGAGTGATTAGTCAAAAAACAAGTAAGCAAGCGGTCTAAGGCTCACTCTTGCTCTTTGCCTTGACCCAAATGGGTCGTAAAGTATGACCTTCAATCTTACCACTTGATTGGGATGGAAGGATGAGAAGACTCGAGCTAAGCTTATAGTCCCAAACTGTCCCTGATCCTGCGCTGGCA